ACTAGCAGTACTAGTCTACCAAGTATACAATCTCCACTAGTATTCAGCATCTGTCATTCAAACTACCGTTCAACTCAACCCTTTTCCTGAATATTATCTCACCTGTGCCCCAGCTCCATTGAGGGTGAATTCAGCAAGGGAAATTGGCGGAACTCCTCCACGTCCATTGCATTGTTCAGTCTAAAGATATACTTAAATTCTATTGAAATTGTTGATCATCTTCTTTATTATCTTCCTTATCATCTTCCTTATCATCTTCTCTATCATCTCCTTCATCATCCTCTTTATCATCTTCTTTACCATCTTCTTTACCATCAAATCTCCTCCATTTCCCTCTCCAAACCCACATTTCCCCCACAATCTCCCGTTTCACAATTCATATTTCCATCACATCCAGTTCTTGCCCAAATCCGTGCTGCTTGCCATCCATTCGGGACACGGAGTTGCTAAAAATATAGAGAATTTCTAGATTTTGAGATAATAGATAAGATAATATTTATATAGTAGATATATTTAGTTATATCTTTTCTCTAGTTTTCATCTTTTGAGATCAATTTTTGAAGATTCTTCCCAAATTTCTTCTCAAAAAACGGCTCCTTATCAGTTTGCCGTTCATTTTTTTCGCCAGACTCAACCGTTGATCAGAAAATGATAGAATCTTAAATTCAAATCAGAAATTAAAGAACTTAGTTGATAAATAGATTATCTAGTCCCTAATAGATTATCGAATCCCTTAAGTACCTTCGATTCTCCTCCATTCAATTTAAAGCCACCACCATTTGGAACGAAAGATCCCTGAACACCGGGCCAAATTGTGAAAGGACATTTGTTGTAAATCTGAAATGAATATAGAAAAATGGATAAGTAATAGATGATCCTCTTTTCAAGATCTATTATCTATCCTTTCCTCGCTAAAACTCACATTAATACAGACACTATTCCCATCACTCGAACATTGAGAAGCAGCTGAGCCAACAACAGCCAAAAGAAGCGTTACACGGAGCATTCTGACTGGAAAATGGAAGATTTTGAAAGGAATTTGGTCGCTGGGAACGAATGTTTACGTTAAAAGCACAAAATAGATGATAAAGAACACTGTAGGGCAGCACTGTAAAGAGCTTTGTAATTAGTTACTACATGGATTGGCAAAAGATTTAAAGACAATTGAATAAGCTAGGCTCATATTGATAATTCAGATAATTAAATAAGTTGGAACCTGCTAGCCTAGACAGGACCAAGCCAAGTCTACCACTAAGTCTAGGTCCAAGATCGGCCGGCTTCAAGTCAGGATCTGGTTCAAGGTTGGTCCAGGGTTTGTCCAGTTGATCTAATTTGTCTAGAACTAGATGACAGGTCTCAGGTCCAGGTTCAGACTCAGATCCAGGCCCAGATTCAGGCCTAGCTCCAGATTCAGGTGAAGGTCAAGATTCAGGTTCAGATCTAGATCTAGATTTAGGTTCAAATCCAAGTCCTGATTTGGCAGGCTCGGTTAGAAGCAAGTTCCAATCCCAATTCTGGTTCAGGTCTGGTCCAATGGGAAACACCAGGTCCAGATTCAGGTCCAAATCCAGGTCCAGGTTCAGGCCCAGATCCAGACTAAGGTCTAAGCCCAGATTCAGTTCTAGCTACAGATTCAGGTCCAGGCCCAGATTCAGGTCTAGGTCCAGATTCAGGTCCAGATCCAGACTCAGGTCTAAGCCCAGATTCAGTTCTAGCTACAGATTCAGGTCCAGGTCCAGATTCAGCTCTAGGTCCAGACTCAGGTCTAAGCCCAGATTTAGGTCTAAGCCCAGATTCAGGGCTAGGTCCAGATTCAGGTCTAAGCCCAGATTCAGGTTCAGTACCATATCCAAGCTGATCCTTGAACCAATCCAATGCCAAGCAGCCATCCCAAACCCAAACCAGAACAGGAAAAGAACAAAAAAAACTGTTTAGGTATCTATTTAAATCTAAGTGAAAGAAAAGTGACTCAAAAGAAGAAGAATTTAAAGAAATTTGTAGGTTTTGAGCTAACAAAACTAGAAATATAAGAAAACTATAAGAAAACTATAAGAACGTTAGATAAGAATGTTAAATAACATTGTGAAAGAACTTTTTCAATTATCAAAAAGACGAGATCACCGCCAAAACGTGGTTGAGTGGCTGGGTGTCACATTGCTTTCCCCAAATCCTTTTATATTCTTCTCCACTCATCTTATCACTGAATGGGGAACCGTCTCATTCTTCTGTTATCTTCAAAAAGTCCATGTGGACTCAGGGAAAGTCAACTGAAACGGATTAAGCCAAATTCTTTATGCAAAAATTTGACAAGAGATGAAAAAGAGGCTGTTTATTGACTTTAATGAGTAAAATGAGTTTAATGACTTTACTGGCTTTGCTGGCTTTACTGACTTTACTGGCTTTACTGGCTTTGCTGACCACAGCTTACTCGTCATTCTTACCTTTATAAGCTTCTAGAGACTCAATTATTTATCCGTGCTGCTTCCTGGAAATCTGGCATTGTTGCAGCTTACTCAGCCTGTAAAGTCTCTAGCCTGAAGTTCTGTTAGCTTAGCCCAGACTTGCCTGGCTATTCTAGGACTTGCCTGGCTAATTCTAGGACTTGCCTGGCTATTCTAGGACTTGCCTGGCTAATTCTAGGACTTGCCTGGCTAATTCTAGGACTTGCCTGGCTATTCTAGCACTTGGCTTCTGGCCAGATCCTCCCTTAGCCTGGTTTTTAGGTTCATTGCCACAGCTAGAACAATCTTGCTTTTACAAATTTGTTTCGAATTCATCAGAAAGGTTATTCAATTGGCTATTAGACACCAGAAGCTACACCGGGCCTGGCTTTGCTTCAAACTCGAATTATAGAGTCATTGGTACAGCTGGAACAACCAGACAACCAGCTTCCGAGCCTGGCCTTGCTTCAAGCTCGAATGATAGATTCATTGGTACAACTGGAACAACCGGACAACTAGCTAGATCCGGCCTGACCTGAGCTTGACCTGAGCTTGACCTAATCAACCAGAAGCCAGGACAAAACTAACTTCTTAACACAATTGCTCTGGCTTGACTCTAGCGTTTGGACTTGACTTCTGACTAGTTCTAGGAGAGGTTTATAGATTCATTGGCAGAGCTTGATTAAGCTTGATTCCGATTGTCCATTCCCGAGATCTTTGATACTCTAAACTATTCAGAACTGGTCATAAACTGTTCAGAACTGTTCAGAGCTGTACAGAACTGTCTAGAAACTGTTCAGAACTGTTCAGAACTGTACAGAACTGTTCAGAACTGTTCAGAACTGTTCAGAACTGTACAGAACTGTTCAGAACTGTTCAGAGCTGTACAGATCTCTTTAGAACTGTTCAGAACTGTTCAGAACTGTTCAGAACTGTTCAGAAACTGTTCAGAACTCTTTAGAACTCTTTAGAACTGTTCAGAAACTCTGTAGAACTGTTTAGAAACTGTTTAAACTGTTCAGAACTGTTCAGAACTGTACAGAACTCTTTAGAACTGTTTAGAAACTGTTTAAACTGCTTAGAACTGTTCAGAAACTGTTCAGAACTGTTCATAAACTGCTTTGATCATAAAAAGGTGATAAGATCTCAAAAAACTTTCAGAGAAATCTGGTAATTTCAATTGCAAAAGATCGCTTGTTCCATGATACATTGGGGTTTTGAAAAAGAAAAGATAAGAAGAAAAAAATTAAGAATACCCCATCGAAAGTTTGGTGATAAGGATTTTAGGGGAATTCCCCGGAATCGAGAATCGAGAATCGGGGAATTTAGCTGGAAATGGAAAGTACCATGGTACAAATCGAAGTGATCTGTTCAGCAATCAAGAAATCAATCAGCAATCAAGAAATCAATCAGCAATCAAGTTAGGAAGGTTGGGGAAAAGAAAAAAGGAATGGGATGGAATGGGATGGAATGGAATGGGATGGAGTTTCTGCAGCTTTTCTGCAGTTCTGATCGTCAGAAAATCGAGGTATAAAGATGAAAAAGGGCTATTTGAAGAGATAACGATTGGGTATATAAGGCTCTTTCCGATATTTAAGGCTCATCCACTCATCTCTTCTACATAAACAATTACTTGACCGATCTTTTATGGATCTGATTCAAGATTCTTACTATCTTCTTTAGCTTTTTCTTACCACAATAAGCTTTCTGAATCTGATTTTTAGCTTTTCTTGTACTTGACTAGCTGGTGTTGACTAGCTGGCTTTGACTAGCTGGCTTTGACTAGCTGGCTTTGACTAGCTGACTTTGACTAGCTGGCTTTGACTAACTGGCTTTGACTAGCTGGCTTTGACTAGCTGGCTTCGATTAGCTGGCTTCGACTAGTTGGCCTTGACTAGCAGACTCCTAACTTGAACCTAACCAATTCAATTGTCTTTAAACCTTTTGCCAATCCATGTGATAAAGAGACTAATTACAGTGCTCTTGAGAGTGCTGGACCTGGATTTGAACCTGATGTTTCCCATTGGACCAGTCCTGAACCTGAATTGGGATTGGAACTTGGTTCTAACCGAGCCCGCCAAACCAGGACTTGGATTTGAACCTAAATCTAGATCTAGATCTGAACCTGAATCTGGACCTTGACCAGAATCTGAAGCTAGACCTGAATCTGGGCCTGGACCTGAGTCTGGATCTGGACCTGAGACCTGTCTGGATCTAGTTCTAGACAAATTAGACCAACTGGACAAACCCTGGACCAACCTTGGACCAGATCCTGACTTGAAGCCGGCCGATCTTGGACTTAGACTTAGTAGTCGACTTAGCTTAGTCCTGTCTAGACTAGCAGGTTCCAATTTATTTAATTATCTGAATTATCAATATGAGCCTAGCTTATTCAATTGCCTTTAAATCTTTTGCCAATCCATGTAGTAAAGAGACTAGTTACAGTGTTCTTTACAGTGCTGCCCTACAGTATTCTTTATCATCTACTTTGCGCTTTTAACGTAAACATTCGTTCCCAGCGACCAAATTCCTTTCAAAATCTTCCATCTTCCAGCCAGAATGCTCCGTTTAACCCTTCTTTTGGCTGTTGTTGGCTCAGCTGCTTCTCAATGTTCGAGTGATGGGAATAGTGTCTGTATTAATGTGAGTTTTAAAGAGGAAAAGATAGATAATAGATCTTGAAAAGAGGATTATCTATTACTTATCCGTTTTTCTATATTTATTTTAGATTTACAACAAATGCCCTTTCACGATTTGGCCCGGTGTTCAGGGATCTTTCGTTCCAAATGGTGGTGGCTTTAAATTGAATGGAGGAGAATCCAAGGTACTTAAGGGATTAGATAATCTAACTATCAACTAAGTTCTCTAATTTCTCTAATTTCTGATTTGAATTCAAAATTCTCTCATTTTCTGATCAACGGTTGAGTCCGGCGAAAAAAATGAACGGCAAACTGATAAGGAATCGTTTTTTGAGAAGAAATTTGAGAAGAATCTTCAAAAATTGATCTCAAAAGATGAAAACTAGAGAAAGATATAACTAAATATATCTACTATATAAATATTATCTTATCTATTATCTCAAAATCTAGAAACTCTCTATATTATTAGCAACTCCGTGTCCCGAATGGATGGCAAGCAGCACGAATTTGGGCAAGAACTGGATGTGATGGAAATATGAATTGTGAAACGGGAGATTGTGGGGGAAATGTGGGTTTGGATAGGGAAATGGAGGAGGTTAGATGGGAAAGAAGATGATAGAGAAGATGATAAAGGAGATGATAAGGAATATAATAGAAAATTTGAATAGAATTTAAGTATATCTTTAGACTGAACAATGCAATGGACGTGGAGGAGTTCCGCCAATTTCCCTTGCTGAATTCACCCTCAATGGAGCTGGGGCACAGGTGAGATATTCAGGAATAATATTCAGGAAAAGGGTTGAGTTGAACGGTAGTTTGAATGACAGATTAGTGCTGAATACTAGTGGAGATTGTATACTTGGTAGACTAGTACTGCTAGTATTGCTCTTTGAATGATCGATCAATCAATCAATCATCAATCAACCATTCATTCCAGGATTACTACGATGTCTCACTTGTTGATGGCTACAATATTCCCGTTCTAATCATGCCAATTGGTGGCACCTTCAACACCAATGGAGGACAATATGATTGCAAAGTGTCTGGAGGATGTGTGGATAACTTGAGCTCAACCCTTTGTCCAGCCCCGCTTCGGGATATTAAGGTAAAGTTGCATAAGAGATAGATCTCTAGATTATCTAAACAGAATAAGATATTCCTTTAATAGATTTACCTTTTAGAACGGAAACATTGTCGCCTGTATGTCGGCTTGTGAGGCTTTCAACACTGATGAGTACTGTTGCCGGTTGGTGGTTAATTCTAAAGAGAGATCTAGATCTAGATGAAGGTCTAGATCAAGAGCTAGATCAAGATCAAGATCTAGGCCTAGATCAAGAGCTAGATCTAGATCAAGAACTAGATCTTGATCTAGATCTAGATATTAGCTTTCAATCATTCAGCTTATTTATCTAAAAATTTCCCTTTCAGTGGAGCTCACGGAACTCCAGACACTTGCCCGCCCAATCAATACAGTCAACTCTTCAAGGTGAGGATAAAGCCACAGGATTGATCTAAATAGATCTAGATTTAAATTGATTAACTATCAAGATCTATTCTGTTTTAGAAAGCCTGCCCTGGTGCATACAGTTATGCGTATGATGATCACACATCGACCTACTTCTGCCGGGGAAACAAGGGACCAAGCCCCGCCTACACCGTTCAATTCTGTTAGATATCTTGTGCATAAATTTATCTATCTGAAATTATAACTATAAATTACAAATTCATCTATCTTTAAACTATCTGAAACAAAGTACTAGTAATAAACTTTTTTGAACATATATCAAAACCAAAAACAATTAGAAGAACTAGTCATAGCCAGGACACTGGACACTGGACAGGTTTCCGCATTAATCTGGTTGGGATCAAGATTGGTAGAACCTGGTCTAACGTAAAACTGACCTGGTTTAGCCCTTGCCTGTTTTATAAGGCTTACCAGTAGACGCTGTTCTTTAATTAGCTTGAAACGGGTCTGAAACGGCTGTGAAACTTAGTGCTAGGCTGAAATCTAAGCCTAACCTTAGCTCCGGGAACCGGCTGAGATCCAAAAAATGGGGGTTTAGCCCAAACCCAAATAGACTTAGTGCGAGGCGCTAGCCGCTAGCCTTCGCACTAAGTCCAAGCCTGTCCTTCCCTAGCACTAGGTCTGAAATCAAAGCAAAGTTCCTGTTTGACTATGATTCGAATTCGAACATTTACATGCCAAAGTCAATTCCAAAACAGTTAATAAAGAGCAACTGTAGACCTGGGTAGGTCAGGGTGAATCTAAACCTAGTTTAGTCTAGACCTAGCCTAGTCTAGACCTAGCCTAGTCTAGACCTAGTTTAGTCTGGACCTAGCCTAGTCTAGACCTAGCCTAGTCTAGACCTAGCCTAGTCTAGACCTAGCCTAGTCTAGACCTAGCCTAGTCTAGACCTAGCCTAGTCTAGACCTAGCCTAGTCTAGACCTAGCCTAGTCTAGACCTAGCCTAGTCTAGACCTGGTCTAGCTCAACCCTAGTTCCAGACCAGATTTGAGCGCAAACCCGTCCAATTCTAGAAGAAAAAAGGCGCCATTTGATTTTGTTTATTTTTGCGGACGCCCCTTTCCACATACAATTCTCCTATTTCCTCTTGCTACTTTTTCGCATTTGCCAATTCAGCAGGCTACACTCATTTTCGCAACCTTTTCGCCAACTCACCATCATTTATGTTTCAAGTTTTAATTGGGTTTTGAGTTTAAATAAATCTAGAAATTGCTATTGCTAATGGAAAAACATGATTGCATCTGACATGACTTTGAATATTACGAAAGTAGAAAAAGGAGGTAGCTCAGCTAATGTCTGGCTTTCTGTCTGGATTAGAATTTGGGGTTAGAATCAACCCTGATATTCAGAAAACAAGTCAGACAAACGCCTAACTTTGTAGTCTTGAAACTGAGCTAGGTTGGCTGAGTCTGGTCAAGACTGGCTGAGTCTGGTCAAGACTGGCTGAGTCTGATCTAGGCTGGCTGAGTCTGATCTAGCCTGGCTGAGTCTGATCTAGGCTGGCTGAGTCTGATCTAGGCTGGCTGAGTCTGATCTAGCCTGGCTGAGTCTGAACTAGCCTGGCTGAGTCTTATCTAGCCTGGCTGAGCCTGGCACGAACCAGGGTTGATTCTGGGAAGATGGGTGATTTTTTGAGATATTTAACTCTCTCCCTCTCGGGTAAGAGGTGCCTTGTGGTGTAATGGTTAGTACAGTTGTCCGATGGTTAGTACAGTTGTCCGATGGTTAGTACAGTTGTCCGATGGTTAGTACAGTTGTCCGATGGTTAGTACAGTTGTCCGATGGTTAGTACAGTTGTCCGATGGTTAGTACAGTTGTCCGATGGTTAGTACAATTGTCCGATGGTTAGTACAGTTGTCCGATGGTTAGTACAGTTGTCCGATGGTTAGTACAGTTGTCCGATGGTTAGTACAGTTGTCCGATGGTTAGTACAATTGTCCGATGGTTAGTACAGCGAAAGGTCGCAGGTTCGAGTTCCGGGTGCACACGAGTTTTTGATTTTTCCTAGTTTCAACTCCTTCCTTGGTCGCCAGTTGGAACTAGGCCAGATCAAAAATCCATTCGCCGCCGGGACTCGAACCCGCAACCTTTCGCTTACGGTGCTAACCATTACACCACACGATTTTTCCTTACTCCAGAGGGAGAGAGTTAAATTTATGTCTCAAAAAATCACCATCTTCTCTACTTTAATTTGCTACCCAAGCGCACAGAAACAAAAATTGACATTGGCTTAGTTTTCCAGTTGAAAACTTAGAATGAATTAACGAACTATTGAAGAATTACCGTATTCTCTCTAATAGAGGCGCACTCTTTAATAGTAGTGCACTCTCTGATAGTATTGCGGTCCAGGAGGGGGTTCAAAAAATAGTAGTGCACCCCAGAAAATTTGAATTTCTGTTTGCTTCTTTTTCATCTAAACCTTTTTGACTTTATGTTTATGTGAGATTCTAAAGCTATTCAAGCAAGCAAAAGTGAGGCTTTTTTTAATTCATTTATTAACTATTCTTCACATGAAAAAGTTAGCAAAAAATCTAAAATTGTTGTGCAAAGTGCAAAAACATCTTTTTGTTGTTTGTCAAGACACAAATAATACTTGTGCCACGTGCAACGTCGCCCAATCACGTGTCGTCCAACTTCGGTAGGTCCGTGCAAAGTCAAGGCGCTGCTTCCGGTGCTTAGAATTTGTCAGAGGTTTACGGGCAGCCCTTCTTGCATATAATCCAGCTTGATTTAACCGTCGTCTGATCGTTTCCGGCGATACAGCCTTGTTAAATTTGGCCTTTTGGCCTTGACCTCATCATTTGGCTTCCATCGGTTGATGTTTTGTTAGGATCGTTTTTCACTCGCCGGCCCACAACTGTATGTCAAAAGAAGCCAAATGAGTACGTGAAAGAATTGCAAGAATTTTTGGAATAAAGTTTATATCTGTCTTAGATTGGGACTAAACTGGCCAGCTTTAATAAATGACAAAACTCTTTAATAGTAGTCTAATAGTATTGCGGTCCAGGAGGGGGTTGAAAAAATAGTAGTGCGCACTACTATTAGAGAGAATACGGTAAATGCTTATGATGCCCGGAGATAAGAGCTAAAACACTTTCCACAAGAGTTATAAGACTCTTTTTCTTTAACTTCTGCTATCAAGACTACTGGGAAGGGTAAGGTATGCTATGGTTTTGTAAAGAAAAACTATCATATTAAAAAAAAAAACTATTTAAAACGATTTCCAATAAAAGAATATCAGTGTGGATTCTGCAAGAATGAAGCTACTTTTTTCACACTTTCCCCTTCCCCCTTTTTTTCACCCAAATGAAACCCCGAGACTCTTGCGGTCATTTTATACATTTCATAAACAAAATGAAAAGCAAAAAAACGCGACTTTATCGCAAACGATTGGCTGCAGATAAAGCAGCTAGCCGAAACGTTCGTAGCACAGCTAAAGTTTTCTTTTCGTTAAAGCTTTTTAGATTTTTTTGAATGGCAGTTATTGTTTTCATCTGGAATCGCAGACTTTTCAAATGACTGAACAAAAAGTGACCGGTCGTGTCTAGGAGCGGGGAAAAGGGATCAACGAGGAGAAGGACGATTTTTTTTTTTTGTCCTTCTCCTTACTTCTCCTTTGATGCCCATTTCTTGCACACACAGCTGTGGTCATCCTTTTGATCGGAGTTGTTTAAAGCAACAGAAAAAGAAAAGAAGCTATAGGCAAAGAAGCATCACCATCTACATACATGAGAGGCGATTCCTAAAAAAAAAAACAATCTTTTTATCGGTGACCTTTCGGGGAATCGTCTCGATCAGAGCGATCTCAAAAGAAAAAAAACATTATCCAGAAAAGACAGATCTGATTTGTGATTGGCGATTGGCGATTTGCGATTTGCGATTTGCGATGAAAAGCCATTTCTTTTGCTTTCAAACTCTTCCAAATGTGAAGAATTTTTCTTCTTTTATGAATCAACTTTACCCGGAGCAATGTTCAAACTAAAATGGAAATCCCATAAAGAAAACCAAAAATCCCATGAAAATGACCTTTCAATGAGACAACTGTTGCGTGTTCGCCCAATTTTTTTTCCATTCATCTCAACTTTTTAAGGCTAACGACGGATAGCATAAAAGCCCATGGAAAATCCGAGTCTCATACAAAGCTTAGCACTTTTCCTTTTTTCATAATTTACTTTTCATTTAGCATTCTTGGATGTTGACTAGCTGGCTTTGACTAGCTAGCTGGCTTTGACTAGCTAGCTGGCTTTGACTAGCTAGCTGGCTTTGACTAGTTGGCTGGCTTTGACTAGTTGGCTGGCTTTGACTAGTTGGCTGGCTTTGACTAGTTGGCTGGCTTTGACTAGTTGGCTGGCTTTGACTAGTTGGCTGGCTTTGACTAGTTGGCTGGCTTTGACTAGCTAGCTGGCTTTGACTAGTTGGCTCTGACTAGCTGGTGTTGACTAGCTGGTGTTGACTAGCTGGTGTTGACTAGCTGGCTTTGACTAGCTGGCTTTGACTAGCAGACTCTTAACTTGAACCTAACCTATTCAATTGTCTTTAAATCTTTTACCAATCCATGTGGTAAGAGACTAATTACAGTGCTCTTTACAGTGCTGCCCTACAGTGTTCTTTATGATGTACTTTGTGCTTTCAACGTAAACATTCCTTCCTGGCGACCAAATTCCTTTCAAAATCTTCCATTTTCCAGTTAGAATGCTCCGTTTAATGCTTCTTTTGGCCGTTGTTGGCTCAGCTGCTTCTCAATGTTCGAGTGATGGGAATAGTGTCTGTATTAATGTGAGTTTTAAAGAGGAAAAGATAGATAATAGATCTTGAAAAGATTATAACTATACCAGCAACGAATAAACAAGATGCACGAGTAATGCAAGAGCATAAACATAAACCAAACATAATAATTAAATAAATTTGTGACGTACAACAGTGACTATTTGTAACAGTGACAATGAATACTACTTTTAAAAATCTATAGAATTTACTTCTAGGCCAGGAGGCCAAAAACGACCAATATCCTTGAGAATTTGCTCAAATGCGTCCGGGCGCCAGAGTCCTTCAGCAATCCATGACTCAATCACGTGTTCGTGGGTTCCATGACGAAATCGATTGCTATCTTTCGCCAGAAGGTCGCCAGAAGGTCGCCAGAAGGTCGCCAGAAGGTCGCCAGAAGGTCGCCAGAAGGTCGCCAGAAGCGTTCTATTGTTTGCGTATGGATAGTCGTATCTTTCGGATCCAAAAAATTCACGCTATGATTTACCCATCCCCCAGTGTATTGTTTGTCGTTCGCCAAAGGGCGGTATGCTTTCCATCCATCGGAAAGAATATGAGAACCTGGCGCAATAAAGCGATGGATTTCTCTAATGACTCCGAGGATCGATCAGGCACAATGACGGCAAAATATGATTTCGTTTCACGGCATATACCGCCAAATACCCACTTTTCTGGTACGATTCTCCCTTTGTGGTTTTTCCTCTTTGCAATTAGCGTCTCATCAATTTCAACCGTGAGTCCAGGGCCCCCAATTTGTCCTTGCTGCTTTCTTGATACAATCCAAGCGCATACTTGGCGCATATACTTATTCCAATCAACCGTTGTGTTATTGGCCCATCCCAATTCGTCTCTGAGAAAATCAATCGAGTGAAGTCCAGAGCTCAAAATCGACAAATAGTTGACCAGTTCATGGAATGGGCGGTGTGAAAGAGAAAAAAAAATTGTTTACTCTTATGCCTTTATTGCTTTATTTCCTTTGGCTCGTTCACGAATACACTTGTCACACTCCCAACGATAAACATTCTTCTCCTTACTGCGAATCTTCATTTTACGACCACATCCAGATGCCGGTGCTGCAAGGATTCCTGCTTGAACAAAAATATCAATCGCATCACGCTCGGAAAGCGCGCTCACCTCAGAATATCGCATTCTGAAAAAAAAAAACTTTTGATAGTATCCTAGTTGGGGGACCACTTTTTTTCTTCAAAACCACATGTGGGTTGGGCATCTGCCGGACCCACATCAACACATAAAACTACCTCAAAAAATGACCCGCCAACTAGGATATTATCAACATTTCTAATAATGACATAAAAAAATTTTGTAGAAGTTACGTTTTTGATCGAGTATAATCAAGTAATCACCTCAATAAATTGAATATCTTTACATTTGAAGGGAATTTGCCATCAAATCACTTAAGCGGCTGAATGTCTTTAAAAGGGGTCGTGTATAACGTATATAAAATTTTACCCCCGATCTTAAAATTTTACCCCCTGGATATTGAAAGACCCCCCCCCCCCCCCCCCCCGGATACTCCACAAGTACCGAGGATCATCTATTACTTATCCATTTTTCTATATTCATTTCAGATTTACAACAAATGTCCTTTCACGATTTGGCCCGGTGTTCAGGGATCTTTCGTTCCAAATGGTGGTGGCTTTAAATTGAATGGAGGAGAGTCGAAGGTACTTAAGGGATTAGATAATCTATTAGGGATCAGATAATCTATTTATCAACTAAGTTCTCTAATTTCTGAATTGAATTCAAAATTCTATCATTTTCTGATCAACGGTTGAGTCTGACGAAAAAAATGAACGGCAAACTGATAAGGAATCGTTTTTTGAGAAGAATCTTCAAAAATTGATCTCAAAAGATGAAAACTAGAGAAAAGATATAACTAAATATATCTACTATATAAAATTATCTTATCTATTATCTTAAAATCTAGAAATTCTCTATATTTTTAGCAACTCCGTGTCCCGAATGGATGGGAATCAGCACGGATTTGGGCAAGAACTGGATGTGATGGAAATATGAATTGTGAAACGGGAGATTGTAGGGGAAATGTGGGTTTGGATAGGGAAATAGAGAAGATTAGATGGTAAAGAAGATGATAAAGAAGATAATGAAAAAGATAATAAAAAATTTGAATAGAATTTAAGTATATCTTTAGACTGAACAATGCAATGGGCGTGGAGGAGTTCCGCCAGTTTCCCTTGCTGAATTCACCCTCAATGGAACTGGGGCACAGGTGAGATAATATTCAGGAAAATGGTTGGGTTGAACGGTAGTTTGAATGACAGATTAGTGCTGAATACTATGTAGTGGATATTACTTGTTAGACTAGTACTGCTAGTATTGTTCTAACGAATTCTCCTCAATAACTGCTCTAAAACGTCTCCTGACTACCATAATCGTTCTAAAGAGTGTCCCAATTACCCTAACCGCTCTAAAACGTATCCAATTACCGTAACCGCACGATCCATCTATAAATTTTGACTCTAACTCGTCCTTGTCTCTATATTACAAACGGTTAGAGGCTTCAGGATACTGGATTTTGAGCAATGATCGATCAATCAATGAATCATCAACCAACCATTCATTCCAGGATTACTATGATGTCTCTCTTGTTGATGGCTACAATATTCCCGTTCTAATCATGCCAATTGGTGGCACTTTTTAACACCAATGGCGGGGCATATGATTGCAAAATGGCTGGAGGATGTGTGGATAACTTGAGCTCAACCCTTTGTCCACCCGCGCTTCGGGATATTAAGGTAAAGTTACATAAAAGATAGATCTATAGCTTCTCGAAATAGAATAAGATATTCCTCTAACATATTTTCCTTTTAGAACGGAAACATCGTCGCCTGTAAGTCGGCCTGTGAGGCTTTCAAGACTGATAAGTACTGTTGCCGGTTGGTGGTTAAATCTAAAGAAATATCTAGGTCTAGATCAAGATAAAGATCAAGAACTAGACCTAGATCTAGATCAAGAGCTAGATCAAGATCTAGATCTAGATCTAGGCCTAGATCAAGATCTAGATCTAGATCTAGGTCTAGTTCTTGATCTAGATCTAGATATTAGCTTTCAATCATTCAGCTTATTTATCTAAAAATTTCCCTTGCAGTGGAGCTCACAACACTTCAGACACTTGCCCGCCCAATCAATACGGTCAACTCTTTAAGGTGAAGATAAAGCCACAGGATTGATCTCTAAATAGATCTAAATCTAAATAGATCTAGTTTTAGATTGATTAACTATCAAGATCTATTCTTTTTAGAAAGCCTGTCCTGGTGCATACAGTTATGCGTATGATGATCGCACATCGACCTTCGTCTGCCGGGGAAACAATGGACCAAGCCCCGCCTACACCGTTCAATTCTGTTAGATATCTTGTTCGTTCAATTCTGTTAGATATCATAAATTTTCAATTATCTGAAACAAAGTACTAGTAATAAACTGTTTCAATCAAAACCAAAAACAATTAGAAGAGCTAGCCTTGGCACTGGATATTGGACAGGTTTCCGCATTAATCTGGTTGAGATCTAGCCTAGTCTAGACCTAGCCTAGTCTAGACCTAGCCTAGTCTAGACCTAGCCTAGTCTAGACCTAGCCTAGACCTGGCTGGCTGATCCTGATCTGGTGAAGACTGGCTGATCCTGACACGAACCAGGGTTGATTCTGATCTCAAATTGCAATTCAGGCACTCAATGCCTAGCTATGACTATTATTATGAATAATAGCTGAGCATTGAAGCCTTAGGCTATTGGGTTTAACTCAAAAACAATCCTAAAGCTCTCTCAATTCTTATTCATAGTTGTAAATAACGCAGTGACATAATTGGATCGATGAAGGCATTGCCTTAGGCATCGATGCCAAAAAACCATCTGCAATCCATCTGCAATCACATGGTTTCAAATTTCTCGTTTGTTTATTTTGTCTCTTTTCCTTTCATTTGATCGAAATTTGATTGATTTTCGTGAATCAAAAGAAAATTTAGTTTAAAAATGGGTTTTTTATTGCTGTCTCTTATTTTGCTTGGCTTATTTTCAAGAATTGAAATCGAAGCGTCGCCTGTATTTAAACTAGAAGAGAGAAATCCGTATGTTGACTTGAGCTTTTACTTGGCTGTACTTTGTGCTCGAAAACCATCCTTTCTAGAGCACTGAATCTTTCATAGAACTAGGGAATTGAGTGGAGGGATTTGAGTGGAGGGAATTGAGTGAAGGGATTTGAGTGGAGGGAATTGAGTGAAGGGATTTGAGTGAAGGGATTTGAGTGGAGGGAATTGAGTGAAGGGATTTGAGTGAAGGGATTTGAGTGAAGGAAATTGAGTGACCAGAAGGAGTGTGTTTTTAACGTTTAAGTCAAAGTAAACCCCCTTTTACAGCGAAGGAGTTTACTTCAAAAAGGCTCTGAGAAGCTCTGAGAAACCCTGAGAAGCTCTGAGAAGCTCTGAGAAGCTCTGAGAAGCTCTGAGAAGCTCTGAGAAGCTCTGAGAAGCTCTGAGAACTCTCTGAGAAGCTCTGAGAAGCTCTGAGAAGCTCTGAGAAGCTCTGAGAAGCTCTGAGAAGCTCTGAGAAGCTCTGAGAAACCCTGAGAAGCTCTGAGAAGCTCTGAGAAGCTCTGAGAACTCTCTGAGAAGCTCTGAGAAGCTCTGAGAACTCTCTGAGAAGCTCTGAGAAGCTCTGAGAAGCACAAAGTACCTTAATAGCTGTATGGCTAAGACGTACTGTACTATACTGTTTACGTACAATGAAGTCACTTTCAAATCAATCTTTCAGTGTCCGTCTTTCTATTGATGGCTACTGGCTTCTCCCGGATGAGTTACTCAATGGAACTGGTCTTTTTTTTCGTAAAAAAACAATTGTTACAGTACAATTCTAGTTTCTCTTGACGATTTGAAAGTCTACGTCAAAAATGAACAAGGTGTGAAGAGGCGAGTTCATTGGAAAGCTGCTCATCATGAACAAGGTAAGTTTTGGAAAGGGTATTGTAGGATTTCCTGAATACGACGGGCTTACTGTAAGGTTTCCAGATACTGTAGGGGTACTGTAGGGTTTCCTGGATACTATAGGCTTACTGTAAGGTTTTCCAGGCACTGTAGGGTTTCCCAGGTACTGTAGGGATACTGTAGTATTTCTTGAATACTATAGGCGGACTGTAAGGCTTTCCAGGTACTGTAGGGGTACTGTAGGGGTACTGTAGGGGTACTGTAGGGTTTCCTGGATACTATAGGCTTACTGCAAAGTTTCCCAGGTACTGTAGGTTTCTATAGGGTTTAAAATGATCCACAAAGTCCCACTTTACTTAAAGCACTTATAAAAAACTTTATAATTACTTATACAACTTATAATACTGAAAATAAAGCCAAAAATCTCTTTTAGTTGAAAAAGTTTACACAATTTTCGCAAAATTGGACATCACGAGCGATGACGAGAGTCTGGAGATTCGTGTGGAAAAGGAGGGGATAAAGAGTGAAAGTTGGTGAAAGATTGGGTCTCAGTTAAGACTTGGAATCAAAATGTGATAGTTGATCACTGTTTACAGCCGTTCATCTCCAACTCAATCCCGCTTTTTTCAATGGAACGGCGTTAAACGGAAAGAGTTTCTCTCAAAATCTTAGCTTTAATATCATTCGAAAGAAGAGATTGTTGACGTCGGGACGTAGGTGTTTAACTTTTGACTTTTAATTAAGCTGTTAATTAAGCTGTTAATTAAGCTTTTAACTAAGCTTTAACTAAGCTTTTAACTAAACTATTAACCAAACTTTAACTAAGCTTTTAAACAAGCTTTTAATTAAGCTGTTAATTAAGCTTTTAACTAAGCTTTAACTAAGCCTTTAGCTAAGCTTTAACTAAGCCTTTAACTAAGCTTTAACTAAGCTTTTAACTAAGCTTTTAACTAAGCTTCTAACTAAGCTTTAACTAAGCTTTTAACTAAGCTTTAACTAAGCTTTAACTAAGCTTTAACTAAGCTTTAACTAAACTTTAACCAAACTTTAGCCAAACTCTAACCAAACTTTAACTAAGCTTTAACCAAAATATAACCAAACTTTAACTAAACTATTAACCAAATTTAATCATATTTTCAAATGCAGGCAATGGAGAGTGTCACTGTGTGGAAAAGAATTGTGCTTGCTGCCAGGAAATCGTTTTTCCAAACTTCAATCATGGTGGTGAGTAGAATTGAAAGATAAAAGCTAGAAAAGAGCTAGAAAAGGCTAGAAAAGCTAGAAAGCAGAGAAAAGCTAGAAAAGAGCTAGAAAAAGCTAGAAAAGCTAGAAAAGCTAGAGAAGAGCTAGAAAAGAGCTAGAAAGGAACTAGAAAAAGCTAGAAAAGGCTAGAAAAGGCTAGAAAAAGCTAGAAAAAGAGAAACAGTATAGTACAGTACGTCTTAACGATACGGCTTTTAAGATAGACTGTACTTTGTGCTTCTCAAAGCTTCTCAGAGCTTCTCAGAGAGTTCTTAGAGCTTCTCAGCTAAGAAAAGCTAGAAAGGAGCTATTAGGTTGGCAACTAAATAATGGCCCTCGCCCTTTTTTGATAAAATCTTTTAATCTTTGCGTTTAATCTACCCTCGCTTGTTGTTAATTGAATATTACTGAATTTCTGGTGCATTATTATACGTTTTTTACTTTCCTTGATTTGATACTTTTCAAATAATTTTGTTTAGAAATGGAAGATCTCAAATATCGAATGCGTGTCTGTCTCTAGTACGACTACAAACAAGACAAAACAGCTGCCGAATCCCACAGAGATTTATTGCGAGTTTTTGGTGATGAAGCTCTTTCCGAAACACAATGTAAGAGATGGTATCGACGGTTCAAGGAAGGGGATGAAAGTCTTGAAGATGAGCCTCGCCAAGGACGACCCGAACTTCTGCAGAACGATATTTTGGAAGCAGCTTCAAAGGAGGATCCAAGTCAAACATCACGCGAGCTAGGGGATCGATTGGGCTTTTCGCATACTGCAATCGAAAAGCGACTTCATGCATTGGGGAAAAGTAACCGCAGTGGAAAGTGGATTCCGCATGAATTGAGCGAAGAAAATAAGGCTACTCGTGTTATCACAGCTGGAATACTACTAAAACTTGCGAAAAAGGGAAGCTTCTTGGATTCCATTGTCACTTCTAATGAAAAATGGATCTTTTATGATAATCGAACGCGAAAACTACAGTGGCTTAGCACAAACAAAGACCCAAAACCAACTCCGAAGCTGGATATTCACTCAAAGAAAACTCTCCTCTGTGTGTGGTGGAGTTCTCGTGGATTGGTGCATTTCGAGGTTCTCAAAAGCCGGCAAACGGTTAATTCAGAACTCTATTCGTCTCAACTACATCGTGTAGATCAAGCAATTCGCTCTCAAGGACTCGAACCCTCTTCAATTCATTTTCTCCATGATAACGCAAAACCACACACTGCAGAACTTACAATGGAGAAAACCGAGGAGTTGGGCTGGAATGTTCTTCCTCATGCGCCATACAGCCCGGATATGGGGCCTAGTGATTACCATCTTTTTCGATCGATGCAACACTTTCTAGCCGAGAAAAAGTTCAATGACCTTGACGAAGTCCGAATTTCAGAGCACAAGTTCTTTGACGATCAACCAGAAGAATTTTTCAAGAGAGGAATCCAGTTGCTCCGTCAAAAGTGGAAAGAAGTAATAAAGAATGACGGAGAATACCTTTTGGATTGATGTTGATATTTGTTCATCTTGTTAATAAATTTTTTGTTTTTACTGAAAAGGGCCATTATTTAGTTGCCAACCTGATAGATTTAGCTAAAATCTTAAGCGCTATTTAGTTTGTGTGAACATCTCGTACAATCCACTCACAATCGGGATGGATCTCTCAATCGGCGTTGATGGGCATTATTATACGTATGAAATCTCAGGTAAAGCTAGAGATTTATGCCATAATATAATTCTAAAAAGCAATCAATTTGCAATGCTTAATGCTTTGAATGCATTAAAGCAATTGCATTAAAGCATTAAAGCAATGCTTTCAGCCCGTAATCCGCCACCAATTTGTCTTGATTTCCCTTATACAAGAGAGGTTCTTTCACTGTGCATTGCGTTTGAAGAGGTCAGTTTATACTAACAAAAACATCTGTCAGCTGTCAGCATCTCTGTCCTTTTCCCGCTAAAGTTTTTCATGTTCTAAAGTTTTTCATGTTTTTCTCAGCATAAACCCATCGCTTTTGCCTATTTAGATTCTCATTTGATGCAGAATCAAATTGCGCATCGATTGATACCAAAATGAACTCAAAATTGAATATCTATGCAAAGTTATGAGTCAAAAACCAAACCCCGTCCCTTATTGGCCTTTTGCCATTGGCGAGCGTCGGTTTTTCGTCTTTTTCTTAGCACCTAGGCCTTAATTCTGACTGTTTGAACTATCATTCGATCGAGAACAAAATTGCGCATCGATTGATACCAAAATGAACTCAAAATTGAATATCTATGCAAAGTTATGAGTCAAAAGGTTAGCTCAGCCTATTATGGGCGGGACTTGGGTTAAGTAATGAACGGGGTTCATCTCTTTAGCCAATAAAGTTTTTAGCTAGTTTTTTTAGCCAATAACTTTGCATAGATATTAAATTTTGAGTTCATTTTGGTATCAATCGACTCGCAATTTCATTCTGCATCAAATGATAATCTAAATAGGCAAAAGCGATGGGTTTGTGCTGAGAAAAACATGAAAAAGCTTAAATTCCCGATAAAAGAACCGAGAGATATTTTCGTTACAAGTTTATTTTGTACCTTACTCAAAAACGCTCTAACTAGTCCACTTTCTAAAAGATACCTTTTTAAAAACTATTGTAATCCACCATCATTCGATCAGCCTAATTTTGACATCATTCAACAAGGCTGACAAGGTTGTCGAAGGCTGACAAGGTTGTCGAAGGCTGACAAGGCTGTCGAAGGCTGACAAGGCTGTCGAAGGCTGACAAGGCTGTCGAAGGCTGACAAGGCTGTCGAAGGCTGACAAGGCTGTCGAAGGCTGACAAGGTTGTCGAAGGCTGACAAGGTTGTCGAAGGCTGACAAGGTTGTCGAAGGCTGACAAGGTTGTCGAAGGCTGACAAGGTTGTCGAAGGCTGACAAGGTTGTCGAAGGCTGACAAGGTTGTCGAAGGCTGACAAGGTTGTCAAGGCTGTCGAAGGCTGACATGGCTGACAAGGCTGACTCAGTCAATGAAATCAAAATTGAGCTAATTGAATGAAACTAGAGCTAGTTTTTGTAAAGCTATCTCTTTTAGAAACAGAAGTAATCAAAAATTTCAGATAGATTTAACGAGAAAGCATTTGGCTGGTTGTGTCGAGCTTGAAGCTGAGTTGATCCATCTGAGAGTGCTACGGGAGAAGCTTGGCTGCTTCGATATTCCGATTTGATCGGGAAAAGCTCGGAAATTGCTTGGAAAAGGAATCTAATCTATCTATTAATGCAAAATTTCTCTATTTTATAAAATATAATAAATTTACTTTAAATTTGATGGGAATTTGATGGAAATTGATGGAAATTGATGGAAATTGATCGAAATTTTATTTCTAACAATTGCAAGAGTAATCAAATTGAAATTGAATTGAAAAAAAGAGTAATCAGTTTCATTGTTTCTTTTATAACTAGTATTCTGAATAAAAAAACAGTAAAGTTGTATAGTTTTGAGTAAATAATAATATTGTTATGTATAGATAGATATGTTGTGTTCGATTTAGATTTCCGTTTGATTTAGATTTCCGTTTGATTTAGATTACATAGACTGTAATCAATAAAAGACCTTTGAAAGATGCAGGAAACTACAGAAAACTACAGAAAACTACAGAAAACGCTTAAGAACATATATTAAGCATGTTTATATTATTGTTCAATCTATCTAAGATTTAGATTGAATCTAAATTGGAGGTCCGATATAGACTGCAATCTAAATCGGACGTCCTATATAGACTGTAATCTAAATCGGACGTCCGATATAGACTGCAATCTAAATCGGACGTCCGCGATAAGTTCAATCTAAATCGGACGTCGGATTTAGATTGAATCGGACACAACAGATATAATAAGATGAAGAAGAAGAAGAAGAAGAAGAAGAAGAAGAAGAAGAAGAAGAAGAAGAAGAAGAAGAAGAAGAAGAAGAAGAAGAAGAAGAAGAAGAAGAACGAAGAAGAAGAAGAAGAAGAAGAAGAAGAAGAAGAAGAAGAAGAAGAAGAAGAATAAGAAGAATAATATCATTGTGGTAGCAAACGATCATCAAATTCATCAAAACTGTCTTCTTTCGTGCGGCGAGCGCCAGTTTTTGGCCGAGCAGCCGTCGGTCCTAATGGATCAAGATAGGAGAAATCGAGATCTTCTAAAATCTACTATATATAAAGCAGAAGAGCCGTCTGTCTCTCTGTCTCTCTGTCTGTCTATCTGTCTCTCTGTCTGTCTGTCTGTCTGTCTGTCTGTCTGTCTGTCTGTCTTTCTATCTGTCTGTCTGTCCCTCTGTCCCTCTGTCTGTCTGTAAGATCAATTTTGAAAAGAAAAGCAAAACTAGTTTTCTCAGAGGAGGATCGAACCCACGAGCCCTCTTTCCCCTCTTTCCCACTCTCGTTTAAGACACACGCGCTCTAACCACTAGACCAGCCTGCGCACGGAGGGAAAATTAGACAACATTGGGCTCGGCTAGTTTTGTAGTTTTCGCAGTTTAAAAAAAAATTGATCAAGATATCATCTAAATTCAAATCCAGATCCAGAAGTTTTTTGCAGTGTTTATGATCGTATTATGACTATGGATCCCTTCCGTTTTCTAAAGGTAGCTTGGAAATCAAATCCATCGTCAGATCCTGTTCCTGATCTTGGAAAAGCTTCCGTAATCCTCTCGTCAGGCTGTCCTAATCTTGGAAAAGCTTCCGTAATCCTCTCGTCAGGCTGTCCTAATCTTGGAAAACTTCCATAATCCATCGTCAGATCATCCAATCCTCCCGTCAAGCTGTCCTAATCTTGGAAAAGCTCCCATAATCCTTCCGTCAAGCTATCCTGATCTTGGAAAAGCTGCCGTAATCCTCCCGTCAAGCTATCCTGATCTTGGAAAAGCTGCCGTAATCCTCCCGTCAAGCTATCCTGATCTTGGAAAACTACCGTAATCCATCGTCAGATGTCCTGTTCTATTTAATTTTTATCTAATTCCATTGACAGCTTGAATTTCCATCAAATGAGATTAAAATTAAGTGAATCCAACAAAATCTAAAGGAAAGACTATGGTAGTTTTCGCAAATTCTAGAAAAAGACCTAGCAGAAGAGTTGCTGATCGATTTAAACTCTTCAACTCGCTTCAATCGATTTAAACTCTTCAACTCACTGGGATCCTTTGTCATCGGTCGATATTCAGGATTCGTTTCATCAAAGACAAACGGTTGCGCGCTGTTCATTCGAAGAGATGAACGAGAAGTGGGACGATCCGCTGAATAAGGAGGGAATTTGGATTGAATTTGGATTGAATTTGGATTGAATTTATAGTTTAATTGAATTTATAGTTTTCTATTTATAGTTTTCGATCTTTAATCAATTTCAGTTTTTACTCAAAAACTAGTAGATGATTTTGGGAATACAAAATACTATTTAATATTGCTTTTTCTGCTCATCAAAGTCTTTCCCTTTCTTCTCATCTATCTCCTCTACATTTCAATCTTTTCAATCACTTGTTTTGAGCAAAATTTACACATTTAATTCTACTTTTTAGTGTTTTGAATTGGAGAATGAATTGCTCGGAAGAATTTCAGAAAATTTCAAATGAAACTGGATGGGTGGAAGGAGTAGTTTCCTCTAAAATTTATAGATTTCTAGAAAATCCAGTTTTCTCATCACTCGATAAGCCATTCTAAATAGTTTATATTTTAAAGATGATTACAAAAGTCAAGATCAAGAGGATCAAGAAGATCCGCGAACGAGTGCGACATAACAACAAGCAGCGAAAAGCCCAGCGAATGGCAGCGTCCCAGCGAATGGCAAATTCATCAAAATGGCCAAATTCGATGGGGATTTCAAAGGGATCAATGGGCACAATTGTTAAGAAAGAAAAAGAAAAAAAGAAAGTAGTTTTTAAGAAAAGGACAAGGCTGTCGAAGGCTGACAAGGCTGACAAGGCTGAGATGGCGGACATGGCTGACATGGCTGACAAGGCTGTCGAAGGCTGACAAGGCTGTCGAAGGCTGACAAGGCTGAGATGGCGGACATGGCTGACATGGCTGACAAGGCTGTCGAAGGCTGACAAGGCTGTCGAAGGCTGACAAGGCTGAGATGGCGGACATGGCTGTCATTGCTGACATGGCTGACAAGGCTGACAAGGCTGACAAGGCTGACATGGCTGTCATGGCTGTCATTGCTGTCATGGCTGTCATGGCTGTCATTGCTGACATGGCTGACAAGGCTGTCATTGCTGACATGGCTGACAAGGCTGTCATTGCTGACATGGCTGACATGGCTGACATGGCTGACATGGCTGACATGGCTGTCATGGCTGTCATGGCTGTCATTGCTGACCAGGCTGACATGGCTGTCATTGCTGACATGGCTGACATGGCTGACATGGCTGACAAGGCTGACATGGCTGACATGGCTGTCATTGCTGACATGGCTGACAAGGCTGTCATTGCTGACATGGCTGACAAGGCTGTCATTGCTGACATGGCTGACAAGGCTGTCATTGCTGACATGGCTGACAAGGCTGACAAGGCTGTCGAAGGACAAAGATTTTGAGATGTGGACACATGAAAACTATAAAACTAATATTTAAAGTGATTTCAGATTCAGCCAAATAAAAAGTTAAATGTAAATTTTAAGTACAATTCATTTATATAGTGCGCAGTCTTTTTTTTTTGATCTGTCTTCGCACTTAGGCGGTGCGCTGTGTTCCTATTTGCGCAGATCACAGCCTGCTTCCATATTTCTCTATCCCTTGCCATTGTCATCCAGTGTTTCCTATCTTGATTGCTCCTGGTTCGAACTTGATTGCTCCTGGTTCGAAGCTGATCTTTTGTATCACTTTTCTTTAGTAAAATTAACACATTTATCAGGTAAATGCATAAGAAATGCGGATTCGAACATTTTCAACATTTTCATAAATCTCCAACGATAAAAACCTGATATCGATGTGATAAACTATTTGAAAGTTGACAATTTGTTGACAATTGAGGGTTTTTGAACTTAAGCTCTATCTAAATCGATCTAAATCTCTCTAAATGCATTTCCATTGTTGCATTAGACATTGTTGCATTGTTTTTTTAATGAATTGATATCTAGTTATCCTCCTTTTCTCTTTAAAATCTTCAATTTTTCTTAAAATCTTCAATTTTTGGGAAGCTAACTCGATTTTGACCACATTTGGTCAAAATCGAGTTAGCCAACGCTAAACGCAATGCATCCACAATCACTTAAAGATCCTAATTTTTGTATTTACATTTGATTTATGTCTACCGTCTGTCTGTCTACCGTATCCTATGCTTAGATCTATTTCTAATACCATTAGACTCACCAGCTGGAACGGGTAGACTTTGCGCCGAGTGAGCCGATCGTTTACCTTGACTCGAGTCGGCGTCGCGTTGCATTCGGAGCTGGCGGACCTACAAGATATAGGGAAATAGAAAAGCCATTGATTCCCAATGATTTTCGATTACGCTAGCGCTATTTAGAGTCCTAGAGTCATCATTTCTCAGTGATTCTTTCCAGTAACCCTCAACGTAAGCTCTTACAATAATCTGGATCCTTTGCCACAGTAATCCCTGTATAATCTTACAGTAGCTCTTCACGTGTACAGTAATGCCTACAGTAATCCTCTACAGTAATCCCTACAGTTATCCTCTACAGCAATCCTCTACCATTATCCCTACAGCCATCCTCTACAGTAACCCTCTACAGTAATCCCTACAGTAATCCCTACAGTAATCCCTACAGTAATCCCTACAGTAATCCCTACAGCCATCCTCTACAGTAATCCCTACCGTAATCCTCTACAGTAATCCCTACAGCAACCCTCTACAGTAATCGCTACAGTAATCCTCTATAGTAATCCCTACAGGAACCCCTACAGTAACCCTCTACAGTAATCCCTACAGTAACCCTCTACAGTAATCCCTACAGTAATCCCTACAGTAATCCCTACAGTAATCCCTACAGTAATCCCTACAGCCATCCTCTACAGTAATCCCTACCGTAATCCTCTACAGTAATCCCTACAGCAACCCTCTACAGTAATCGCTACAGTAATCCTCTACAGTAATCCCTACAGTTCCCCTCTACAGCAATCCTCTACCATTATCCCTACAGCCATCCTCTACAGTAACCCTCTACAGTAATCCCTACAGTAACTCTCTACAGTAATCCTCTGCAGCAATCCCTACAGTAATCCTCTATGGTAATCCTCTATAGTAATCCCTACAGGAACCCCTACAGTAACCCTCTACAGGAACCCCTACAGTAACCCCCTACAGTAATCCCTACAGTAATCCCTACAGTAATCCCTACAGTAATCCGTACAGTGATCCCTACAGTAATCCCTACAGTAATCCCTACAGTAATCCCTACAGCCATCCTCTACAGTAATCCCTACAGTAATCCCTACAGTAATCCCTACAGTAATCCGTACAGTGATCCCTACAGTAATCCCTACAGTAATCCCTACAGTAATCCCTACAGCCATCCTCTACAGTAATCCCTACAGTAATCCCTACAGTAATCCCTACAGTAATCCGTACAGTGATCCCTACAGTAATCCCTACAGCCATCCTCTACAGTAATCCCTACCGTAACCCTCTACAGTAATCGCTACAGTAATCCTCTACAGTAATCCTTCGACATGCCTTCCTTAAAGTAACCTTTCCAGACTTACCTTCTCAGCTTTTTCCAGCTTGTCAACGTACTCTTTCGCCTCAGGCATCCCGAGATCGGTGGTGATTCGAACGAGGAATTTGAGGCCTAAAAGGTTATAGAACGACTGTACACTAGTCTTTTTATCTACAGTAATCCTACAGTAATCCTACAGTACTCCTACAGTACTCCTACAGTACTCCCTACAGTAATCCCTTAAACCTACACTCAATGTTGGCCGGGAATTTCCGATGAATGTTCCGGTAGAGTTCGAGCGCTTTCTGATAGTTGCCGGCTCGACGATGCGATGAGGCCATCATCAATTGCCATTTGATCTCATTTGGTCTACAAATATCATTTAGAATATTTCATTTATAATATTTCATTCATAATATTTCATTTATAATATTTCATTAACCCATTCGAAACCGCATCGTTTTTTTCTTTTTTTTTCGTCTACGGACCAAGCCCTTTTTTGACATTTTTGACTCCGAAGCAGTTTATTTATGGTTGGAAAGATGTAAGAGAGTCTCCTACACCATTTATTTTTGATGAAGAACGATTTGGATTTGACTTCAGTACTTTTCAAGATCCTCTATCGATTATTATTCTTATTTTATCGACGACAATATTTTAGTAGGCGAATCTAATAAACATGGAAAAAGGAAAACAAACTGGCAGGATTTCGATGCAAAATCTTTCAAGCTCTTATCTGGCTCTGTATCTTCAAATATCTTCAATGGGAATCGTCAAATTACCGAGGATTCGTGACTACTGGAGTAGCAGGCCTGGATTAGGAGGATTTTACTGGAGTAGCAGGCCTGGATTAGGAGGATTTTACTGGAGTAGCAGGCCTGGATTAGGAGGATTTTACTGGAGTAGCAGGCCTGGATTAGGAGGATTTTACTGGAGTAGCAGGCCTGGATTAGGAGGATTTTCCCACATGTCCCACATTATGTCAAGAGCAAAATTTGAATCTACCGTATTTACTCTATTAGTGGGGTCCCCCACTATTTTTTCAATCCCCTTCCAGACGACCCCACTATTAGAGAGGACCCCACTATTAGAGAAATTTAAAAGAACATAAAACCAAAGTTTTAAATTGAAAAGATATCAATTTTTCTCCGAAATTCTTGACAAAACAAGTTTGGCTTCATATTTTATTTAGCTTTAACCGTAACAAAACATTAACAAACAGTAAAAGAACTAATCCAAGAGATCAACAATTGATGTATCACTTTCGTTACCAATATTAGAGAGGACCCCACTATTTTTTCAACCCCCCTCCAGACGACCCCACTATTAGAGAGGACCCCACTATTAGAGAGGACCCCACTAATAGAGTAAATACGGTATTCTTCGAAATCTGCGTTTTTGTGATAATGAACTGGATCCTGCAGGAGATCGGCTTTATAAGATTAGAGCTATTATGGAAAATTTCAATGCAAAACCAGAGACTGCATTGATTCCGGGTAAATATGAAACATCTTTTTTGCCCACGTAATTTGTAGATCTGCTACAATTGAAATATACATGGAATGCTGAGAAACAGCAAAAAAAAAAAAGCAATTAATTGAATGAAAATAGCTCAATTAGCGCTGCAGCGATTATTCGCAAAAACTCAGGAACGGATCGCTGCAGCGAATAATCGCTGCAGCGGTCCGTTTCTGAGTTTTTGCTGCAGCGATTATTCGCTGCAGAAGTTTCGAATGGGTTAATAACTCACTGCATGATTGCGGCTTTCTCAAAATAGTTGACAGCTTTCTCGCTGAATTGTGCGTCAATGTAATAAGCGCCCATCCACTCGATCACTTTCATATTTGATGGGAAATAGCGATAAGACTAAAAACGATATTTCGTTAGCTTCTTTATAGCTTTGCAGCTTCTTTACAGCTTTGCAGCTTCTTTACAGATTTGCAGCTTCTTTACAGCTTTGCAGCTTCTTTACGGCTTTGCAGCTTCTTTACAGATTTGCAGCTTGTTCTGTAAGCTGTAAAGGACAAGCTGCTTTATCCCTACAAGCTGCTTGTGACAAAGTTTGGACCAGCTCAGGTCAGTAAAGCAAGAGACAGCTAGAATCAGATACTGGCCAGATCTACAGATCATCAGATACAGAAGTTCAGAAGCCAAGTATTTCTGGATTCAGACTCACCAGATCTACAGAGTAAGCCAAATTACGCCCTCAAAGATGTCGCCTAAAAACAGAAGGCTCTATTTGACAATAGGCTGGAAACCTATTGTCAAACAGGTGGCCTGAGCCTAACCCTAAGCCTAAGCCTAAGCCTAAGCCTAAGCCTTATGAAGCAACGAATCCACGAATGTGGCTGTGATCTCACCGAGATTCTGTGAACCTTTGCAAGAGTTACCGCAGGAAAAACACCACTTCTCTTTGTTTCAAAGATCAACAATAACAATTACTTGAATCTTCTAAAGAATGTATTGCCATGAGCTCAAGGAGATTTTGCTGAGCTGAGCCTGAGCCAAACGCCTTTCTGAAGCCCTGAGCCAAACGCCTTTCTATCAATAAGACAAGGCACCGTTTCACAAGACCAATTCTTCAAGATTCTTCAAGATTTCTGCAAAGCCAATCCTATCAAATCAAAAATCAATCAAAAAAAAACCCTGCTCACATCATAGTGACATTGAAAAGCTTGAGCTTTATCCCCCTCTCCATCATAGATTGAAGCCAAACGCTGGAGAATCGCTGGATCTGTTGGTGCTAGAGAGTTCGCCTAAATCTTGATCTAAATCTTGATCTAAATCTAAATCTCTAGAAAAGGATTACGGTAAGATTTGTACCTGACTGTAGAGTTCGATAGCTTGAGCAGTATCTTCAAGTGTTTCATAGCTGAAATGAAATGAAATGAAATGAAATGAAATGAAATAACGAAATGAATGAAATGAAATAGATTGAATATCTAAATCCTACTTACATAGCCGCCAACTGACATAACACTTGAACATTATTAAGTAGCATGTTGTGCAACTTGAAGAAGCATTCCAATGCTTGTTCGACGTTGCCCAGTTGGCGTTGAACAAGACCCAGATTGTAGAGAGCCTAAAAGATATTCAGAAAGGTTGTGTTGAAGAAAAATAGTGTAATCAAGGCTGATTTGTACTGGAATCACTGATTTCTATCGGAATCAAGGCTGATTTCTACTGGAATCAAGGCTTACAATACTTTTCTTGATAAATCTTCATTCTATTCACCTGTACACAAGTCGAATCGTTTGCCAGCGCCTCCTTGTACGAGATGATCGCTTTATTGAGGTCATTCTAAGGAATGTAGTGATTTAGAAGCTAGTTATTGTTGGAAGTGAGCTATTGGAAGTGTAGAACTTTCCAACAGCCAACTTTCCAACAGCCAACTTTCGTTGATTCGTTGATAAGTTACCAATCAAACTAGACTAATATCTTTTTGGAAAAGACACTTAGAAAACTATTGTAATTGAACGAAACTATTGTAATTGAACTATTGCAATTGAACTATTGTAATTGTAATTAGAAAACTATTGTAATTGAACACTCTACACACTTGTTCTTGTTCTCTACACATTCACTTTATTCTATCCCTTTCTAATCTTCTTTTCTTTCTTTCTGCTGCATAAAGTTACGATTAATTTCGAGTTTTTTAGAAAATGAGAAGAAAATCGCTCTCTAAAACGCGCTCAAAGAAGGCTCAAAGGCTCTGATAAAGAAGGCTCAGGCTCAGCAACTCAAGACTTATCGAATCGTCTAATTGCTCGAGGGTTCTATGGGTTAGAAATTCTTTATCATGTCATTGTCATTGTCATTGACATTGTCATTGTCATTTCCATTGTCATTGCTATGCCAAGAATCCAAATCGAACAGGAATCCTGGCCGGACTTCGCTACTTTCCGAAAAAGAGGGATGCTCTGAGAAGCCTCGAACAATATGTCATGGTTTGAGCTACAATTGCAGCCACTGAAGCTGAAGTTATGCTTTGTTTCTAATAAGATGAATGAATCTGACTACCGAATCGTTGAATTCTACTTTTTCGCGCCAGAATCGTAACAAAAATTATGTTTTCATAAAAGACGGCGCCCCGATTCTCGATTCAACTTTATGGGACGCGATGTCATGGTTTAGGATGCAATCGGATCCATTGGTTGACTGAAGTTATGCTTTGTTTCCAAGAAGATGAATGAATATGATTATCGGGTTGTTTTCTAACGTAGAATTCTACCTTTTTACCGCAATCGAAACAAGAATTATGTTTTTATGCAATGCTCCGATTCGCTTCAAGCCTAGTTACAACGCAAAAGGATTCCTCTTGTTGGCCGGATTTTAATGTGATAGAAAATGTTTGGGCTTTTATGCAAGATCTACGGGAACAAGGCCTAGCGAAACGTTGAAAAGCTCAAGCTAGCAATCGATGCATGGCATTGGTAGCCTTGGATTCAGAAGTTGATTGAAAGCTTTGGCTTCAGAAGTTGATTGATAGCCTTGGCTTCGTTGATTGATAGCCTTGGCCTCGTTGAATGATAATCTTGGATTCTGAAGTTGATTGAAAGCTTTGGCTTCGTTGATTGAAAGCTTTGGCTTCAGAAGTTGGTTGATAGTCTTGGCTTCGTTGATTGATAGCCTTGGCTTCGTTGATTGATAGTCTTGGCTTCGTTGATTGATAGTCTTGGCTTCGTTGATTGATAGCCTTGGCTTCGTTGATTGATAGCCTTGTCTTCGTTGATTGAAAGCCTTGGCTTCGTTGATGCCTTGTCTTCAGAAGTTGATTGATAGCCTTGGCTTTGTTGATTGATAGCCTTGGCTTCGTTGATTGATAGCCTTGGCTTCGTTGATTGATAGCCTTGGCTTCGTTGATTGATAGCCTTGGCTTTAGAAGTTGATTGATAGCCTTGGCTTTGTTGATTGATAGCCTTGGCTTCGTTGATGCCTTGTCTTCAGAAGTTGATTGATAGCCTTGGCTTCGTTGATTGAAAGCTTTGGCTTCATTGATTGATAGCCTTGGCTTCGTTGAATGATAGCCTTGGCTTCGTTGATGCCTTGTCTTCAGAAGTTGATTGATAGCCTTGGCTTTGTTGATTGATAGCCTTGGCTTCGTTGATTGATAGCCTTAGCTTCAGAAGTTTATTGATAACCTCCAAGCCTTGGATTGATTTGGTTCAAACGAATGTTCACAAATACAACTTTACTCTAAACGCCGTCTCGGCCACAAATCCCCCATTTCTTTCTCTATCTTTCTCAAAGAACTTATTCTTCTGCTTCCAGGTCTGGAAATGGAAATGGAGATGGAGATGGAAATGGAGATGGAGATGGAAATGGAAATGGTCCTGGACACGGAAATCATTCCTACAAGAAGTACTTATTGAAATCGAGTATATTATCTGTTCTGTAAGCACTTAGATCTTAGATATTAGCTAAATCTATTTAAATCTATTTAATAGCTATAGATTAGCTAAATCAATTTAAAAGTACCCGATGAAAATGGATATTCCCTTGATTGACGAGTGCGGCCGGGTTGTAATGATCGAGGCTGAGCGATTGCTCGACACAACCCTCGGCTTCTTTCAGTTTCGTTTCGCCTTGCTGAAAAGTGATAAACATTAAATAACTATTAGATAAATAGATAAATATTAGCTAAATATTAGCTAAATATTTAAATGAATAGATTTTAAACTAAATTTATATAAATTTAGCTTTAGATTAGCTTTAGATTAGGTTTAGATCAAAGACAAACCAAGAGATTCATCACAGCTAAATTGTTCGCAGCGGCGGCAGCGATTTTTGGCTCTTTATTCTAAAAAACATTAGACCAAAATCATGAATTAGACCCAAATCTAAACCTAAATCAGCGAATTTCTCTAATAAACTAATTTCGAGGCTTTGATTTACCTGAAAGACGTTCAAGACTTGTGCAGCTGCCTCTAAATCTCCATGACGAAGCAGCTCAGCAGCCTGGACAAAATGTGAACAGGAAATTTGCATATTTCTTTATTTCAAGAAGAGATTTCTCTATATTAGATGTTAGCTTTTGTTTCTATATATATGAATTTGATTAGATTTTAATCTCTATCCACCATACTTTACTCATTTCGAGCTCGGTAGCGAGTGGAGCGTAGACGGATTGTTTGATCGTTTCCACACACCACTCATACCCCTCAGCATAGCTGAAATGATTGGAATTTCATTTGGATTTGATTCTAGATGTACTTTGTGCTTAAATATATGGAAATACAGTCTATTTGGTGTGTAAAGAGAGCCTAGATCCATAGAAATCTTCTCGATTCCAGAGATTCCAGAGATTCTAGAGATTCTAGAGATTCCAGAGACTCCAGAGATTCCAGAGATTCCAGAGTACGGTTGATTCTACTGTTCTGGCTGTGATTACAGTAGTTTGCGGCTACCGTAATCTCTAGAGAACAACTAGAGGAACAACTAGACTACGATAGTTACTCTAGTACGATAGTTACTGCAGTACAGTTTATCCATTAAGCCTACAGTAGTCTAGAATCGAAGCTGCTGGAGTAGGCCAGCTTTTAGAGCATTTTTTAGAAGCGCAATCGTTCCCAATCGTTCCCAATCGTTTCCAATCCTTTCCAATCCTTTCCAATCGTTTCCAATCCTTTCCAATCCTTTCCAATCCTTTCTAATCGTCTTCCTATTGCTTTCAACGCAATGATTTTCCTAATATGCTACTTCAGGACACCAGAAAGTGTGTGTTAACACTTTAGCAAAAAGTACAAAACCCAAAGAAACAAACTCGCTAGCGATCGCCGGTGAAATGACTCGAGCTGCGGTGAGAATAGCTCTTTCGGCTATTTGTCGTCTGCTTCTCTCCCATTGTCTCAATCCGTCACTGTTCAATACTTGAGACATCAGAACATCGTCTTTATCCTAGAGTTGAATGTTTAAACAAAAGGACTTCCTGACTACCGTAAGTCAGAATAGCTAGACTACGAGGCTGAGGCTTAGGCTGACAGACTGAGGCTGAGGCTTAGGCTGACAGACTGAAGCTGACAGGCTGAGACTGACAGACTGAGGCTGAGGCTTGGCTGACAGACTGAGGCTGGCAGACGGAGGCTGTCAGCCTTGTAACAAGCCTAGTAACAAGCCTAGTAACAAGCCTTGTAACAAGCCTTGTAACAATCCAAGCCAAGTAAAGCAAGATTGAAATCAGCTGCTTGTTAAGAATTAGTATTGAGTAAAATGTTGTAGAAAGTTGAAGAATCATTCTAATATTAGCTGAGCTAATCTTTCCTCACTATTTTCCGTAACTTGTCCTACTTGTGGCTTTGGTTCATCATCGATATCAAGCGGTACATCAAGAAGTCTCTGGAAAGCGTCTCTCATTCGATCCACATCCTCCAAGCAGTAAGCGGTTAGAACTTTAAGTTTCAATTGTTATAAGGAAGAGATTATAAGCAAGAGATTATAAGCAAGAGATTATAAGCAAGAGATTATAAGGAAGACTTCTAAAGGTAGACACTGCTTAGACACAAAGATAGACACATACTAAAGATTCTCAGCTATTAGCTCAGCTTAAACCATCAAATCTCAATCCCAACAAGTTCTTCATTCTTTAGATTGAATGAAAAAGGTTTTTGGGGGTTTTTGTTTAGGTTTTGTTCAGGTTTTGTTCAGGTTTTGTTCAGGTTTTTGCTTTGCAAGCTTTTAGAATAGCTTTCTAGCTTTTAAACTAGCTTAGAAGCTTTTAGAATAGCTTTCTAGCTTTTAAACTAGCTTAGAAGCTTTTAGAATAGCTTTCTAGCTTTTAAACTAGCTTAGAACCCTTTAAAATAGCTTTGAAAGCTTTTCAATTAGCTTCCAAGCTTTTAAAATAGCTTTGAACCCTTTAAAATAGCTTTGCAAGCTTTTAAAATAGCTTCCAAGCTTTTAAAATAGCTTTGAACCCTTTAAAATAGCTTTGAACCCTTTAAAATAGCTTTGCAAGCTTTTAAAATAGCTTTGAACCCTTTAAAATAGCTTTGAACCCTTTAAAATAGCTTTGCAAGCTTTTAAAATAGCTTTGAACCCTTTAAAATAGCTTTGAACCCTTTAAAATAGCTTTGAACCCTTTAAAATAGCTTTGAACCCTTTAAAATAGCTTTGAACCCTTTAAAATAGCTTTGCAAGCTTTTAAAATAGCTTTGCAAGCTCGTTTTAAGCACTTTAAGCACTTCTAAACGCTTGCTTTAAGCACTTCTAAACGTTCTAAACGTTTTAAGCACTTCGAAACATTTTAAGCACTTCGAAACTCACCCAAATTCAGCGCTGTTGAATAGTCAGCTCTCTCCTCAACACAATGCTCAAAAGTGTTTGCCGCGTCATCGTATTTTCCCATTTTGATGAAAGCAACGCCAATATTGTTGAGGATTTTGATTCTAGAGAATTCAGCTATTGATCTTTGATTCTAATGCCTTCAGATCTTTGATTCTAATGCCTTCAGATCTTTGATTTCTCTTGCCTTGTTTCCTTTTGCACACTCGGCACTTGGTCCAACGCCATTCTGTAGTATTTGATCGCTTTCTCGTAATCTTTCTTCTTGAAATAGATATTTCCAATGTTGACCTGGAAATCTGTTATTATTGTTGTTGAGAATTTTGATTCTGGGTTACTGTGGCCACTTTAGAGTTGCTGTAGCCAGTTTAGAGTTACGCTAGCCAGTTTAGAGCTACCGTAGCCAGTCTAGAGCTACTGTAGCCAGTTTCAGCGATTCAGATCTACTGTAGATCTTTGATTTCTCTTTCTAAGTGAACTGAGAACCTCGAGTTCTCACAAACCCACAAACCTTGAGTCTGCCGGAATGAGCGAACATTTTATTCTTTACAACCACTTGATAGGTGTTCAGCGCCTCGTTTGTCATGTCGTTTGCCATGTACTGAAAGGGAAAGGTTACAGTAATCATTGGAAAAACCGTTTTAGTCATCTACAGTAGCCAGTTTATGGTTATTGTAGCCAGTTTATGGTTATTGTAGCCAGTTTAGGGTTACTGTAGCCAGTTTAGCGTTACTGTAGCCAGTTTAGCGTTACTGTAGCCAGTTTAGGGTTACTGTAGCCAGTTTAGCGTTACTGTAGCCAGTTTAGCGTTACTGTAGCCAGTTTAGCGTTACTGTAGCCAGTTTAGGGTTACTGTAGCCAGTTTAGGGTTACTGTAGCCAGTTTAGGGTTACTGTAGCCAGTTTAGGGTTACTGTAGCCAGTTTAGGGTTATTGTAGCCAGTTTATGGTTACTGTAGCCAGTTTAGGGTTACTGTAGCCAGTTTAGGGTTATTGTAGCCAGTTTAGGGTTATTGTAGCCAGTTTAGGGTTACTGTAGCCAGTTTAGGGTTACTGTAGCCAGTTTAGGGTTACTGTAGCCAGTTTAGAGCTACGCTAGCCATTTGACAGTCATTTTAAAAACTCTATTTGTTTCTATAGTCATTGTAGGGTTACTGTAGCCATTGTAGGGTTACTGTAGCCAGTTTAGCGTTACTGTAGCCGTTAAGCATCTCTTTAGACAGAGAATAGCCAAGAGCTGAACAAGGACTACTGTAGACAAGGGCTGTAGTCATTTTATGGGTACTGTAGCTATTGTAGAGCCCGTACAGCTTTCTATTTGCTAGACTCAATAAAATGAATAGCTCCAATCGATTCACCGACCCTGAAAACCCCCGGGTACAAATTTCCAGCTAAATAGCTTCTTTTTAAGCCAATAAAAAAGGAAAAGAAAAAGTGTCCAAGGTGTTCTTTGTGCGCACACATAATCGCTCGCCATCTGGCACACGGTCCCGACAGATAGGTGTCCTCTTTTGAATTCGGTTATTTCGAAAGTGGCGTCTATTTGACGCGTCCATACAGTCGCAGAAAACGTGCTCTGGTGGTGTGGTGGATAAGAGGCCAGTATCAAAAGCAAGCCATTCACCCTGGCGCTCGGGTTCGATTCTCCTTCCAGCCAAATCTCCAAATTTGGACCAATTTTTGCCTTATCTTTGCTAGATTCCAGCTACCTTCCAGCTACCTTTCTGGGCCCTGCAATCTTCATTATTTTTGATTACTTTGCCCAACCTGATGAGCCAAATTGAACAAAACGGTGAACGTCAAGTCAAGGTTGAGTTGCTCCACGAGTGACAGGCTTTCTCTAAAATAAAATCTGTTCTGTAAATCGTGCATAGTACAGTCCAGTAAACGATACCTCATCCTCACCGCAGCTCTCTCTTTTCTGCCAGCCTCTTTCGCTTTCTCGAGAGACTTAAACATATTTTTGAATTATTGTAACTTGTTTTGATTTTGTACCGCTTTATAATCTTTCTTGTCGTAGGCCATGATGCTTTCTTTCAGTAAATCCATTACCTAAATCTATTAGCTAATGATCTATTAGCTAAATATCTCTCTCTTATCAACTTTATTCTCCATTTGTCGACATTTCTCTTCAGCACTTTCGTCCTTTTGTTCAGTGGCTTTTGCAGCTTCAGCGGTTTGAACTAAAAGCTGAATGACTTAAAAAGAATACTATAATTAGCTACGGCGTTGAAACGGCGTTGAAACACCCCATCAAATCCCCATCAAATCCCCATCAAATCCCCATCAAATCTCTTAAGTTAAGCAACGTTGAGCTCGGTTAGTCTCTGGTTCGAATCCAGCAGGTGAGTCACGGATGAACTGAGTGATGTGATGTGATGAACCGAGTGATGAACCATATGGTGAACTGGTTCCCAAAACCGGTGCCTCTAGGCCCCCTAGGCCCTCTAGGCCCCCTAGGCCCTCTAGGCCCCCTAGGCCCTCTAGGCCCCCTAGGCCCTCTAGGCCCCTAGGCCCCCTAGGCCCTCTAGGCCCCCTAGGCCCTCTAGGCCCCCTAGGCCCTCTAGGCCCCCTAGGCCCTCTAGGCCCCCTAGGCCCTCTAGGCCCCCTAGGCCCTCTAGGCCCCCTAGGCCCTCTAGCCTTCTCCTCCCAGATCTAGGCCCCCTCCCCTCAGGATCCCTCCATCCTCTCCTCCATCCTCTCCTCCATCCTCTCCTCCATCCTCTCCTCCATCCTCTCCTCCATCCTCTCCTCCATCCTCTCCTCCATCCTCTCCTCCATCCTCTCCTCCATCCCCTCCTACATCCCCTCCTACATCCTCTCCTCCATCCCCTCCTACATCCTCTCCTCCATCCCCTCCTACATCCCCTCCTCCACCCCTCCCATCCCCTCCCTCCATCCCCTCCTACATCCCCTCCTACATCCCCTCCTCCATCCCCTCCTACATCCCCTCCTACATCCCCTCCTCCATCCCCTCCTCCATCCCCTCCTACATCCCCTCCTACATCCCCTCCTCCATCCCCTCCTACATCCCCTCCTACATCCCCTCCTACATCCTCTCCCACATCGCCCCATCCTCACAAAACGATAGAATATTCCCTAAATCTTTAGGTGTAAATTGTGATTATGTGTGTGCAATAAATGACCGGTAATCCGGTAATCAATAAATAAATGACCGGTAATCCCGACAAACATTACAATTCTAGATCAATAGATAATTACAGGATTTTACTGAATATCTTTACCTTTATTAGCAAATGAGGTGTATCCAGCGGCTCGAACAGCTGTCATCGGTCGAGATGGTTCATTGCGTTGCCCAGACGCTGTACGACCCCCAGCCCGAGATCGGCTAAAGGTAAATTATGGAGCTTTTCGACGCTAACTTACCCAATTATTCAAGTCCCCTGATTTCGGGTTTATATGAAATTTCAACAGCTCTGAACTTCGAATCACTAGAAAAAACCGAGTTTCCATAACTGTACTGTACACGTACTGTACTGTACACGTATTGTACACGTACTGTACTGTACACGTACTGTACTGTACACGTATTGTACACGTACTGTCCACGTACTGTCCACGGCGCGCTTGTCTACGGCGCGCTTGTCTACGGCGCGCTTGTCTACGGCGCGCTTGTCTACGGCGCGCTTGTCTACGGCGCGCTTGTCTACGGCGCGCTTGTCTACGGCGCGCTTGTCTACGGCGCGCTTGTCTACGGCGCGCTTGTCTACGGCGCGCTTGTCTACGGCGCGCTTGTCTACGGCGCGCTTGTCTACGGCGCGCTTGTCTACGGCGCGCTTGTCTACGGCGCGCTTGTCTACGGCGCGCTTGTCTACCGCGCGCACAAGCTCAGTTCGATCCCATTAGTTCCATTGAATTCTCATTTTTTGATTTTAAAAGCACAACTATACTATATTATATTATATTTTGAGATTTTTGAAAAGATTTCAGCTTTTTTTGGGTCAAAGATGGCTGAGAAAAAGCCCGTACAATGGATGAAGAGAGACTGCTTTTTTATAGATATTGGATCTATAAAATGATAGATCTAGAAATCTATATCCTTTATCTTTATCATCCATTTTTATTTTAAACAAAACAAACCTTCCATATGATGAAGGGACAATGCTTCCAGTGCCAAAAGAAGACGGTGGTCGAGGATTTGATGTGGTTGTCTGAAAGTAGTCTGAAAGTGTTTTTTTCTCAACCCCATTTTAAGTTATTCGAATCTTTTATATACCAAAAGATAGCCCTTAATTTTCTCTATCTTTTGGTATCTTAAACATAAAAATATCTCAGAATGGAGTTGAGAACGAGGCGTCTAAAGTTGACCCTCATCCTCGACCGCTCAACCAACTTTAACCCCCTCGTTCTCAACCCCATTTCAGGTTATTCTTATCTTTTATATACCAAAAGATAGCCCTTAATTTTCTCTATCTTTTGGTATATTAAATATAAAAATATCTCAAAGTTGAGCTGAGAACGAGGGGTTTAAAGTTGGTCGAGAGAGGGGGAGGAAATACGGTAAGCACCCCAGCTTTGATTGTCCATAACTTTGCCTAGAGCTAATATTATTCTTATCTTTTTATATCTTTGTATAGAAGACATTAAGGACTATCTTTTCGTATATTAAACATAAAAATATCTTAAAATGGGGTTGAGAACGAGGCGTCTAAAGTTGATCGAGGGGTCGAGGACGAGGGTCAACTTTAGACGCCTCGTTCTAAACCCCATTTTAAGATTTTTTTTTATGTTTTATATACCAAAAGATAGAGAATATTAAGGGCTATCTTTTCGTGTATTAAACATAAAAATATCTTAAAATGGAGTTGAGAACGAGGCGTCTAAAGTTGACCCTCGTCCTCGACCCCTCGACCAACTTTAGACTCCTCGTTTGCTCGAAATTCCTCGAAATCTCGAGAACCGCTTATCAAAACCTATCGATGCGGGGTCGGAAAATGTAGCTAACGATGAGATCTAGTGGAGGATTTGAGTGTTGAGTTTCTGGGAAAGCTTTGAAAGCCGTAAATAGTCATCAACTCGGCTTGGTGCACTGGTATTAGAGAAAAGCCGGTAAATGATTGATAGATAGATTGATTGATAGATTGATAGATTAAGTAATAGAATAATTGAATAGCTAATTAAAATAATACCGACTGGGGCTACCAGTGGTGAATTTATCGCATACACGAAATATATCAATCACAATACAACGACACACACAATACTAGGCTATATCTTAACTTAACCCACGTCATGACAGACGGCTCCCTAACCCTAAGCTCAATGGGGAACTAAATAGCCTTTTTGGTGGTGAAGGGAAGATGACGATGAAGGAGTGGCTTGTCACTTTAAAGAACTGGGGCCACAACCACCAGACTGCCCTCCAGAAAACCTCTCAACCCGAAGGGAAAGGAAATCCGAAGGGGGTGACCATGTCGCATGTGGGGTTCGAACCCTCGACCTTCCGATTAAGATAAAAGACACTTAACCAGTCAGCCACACGTGAATAATTGAATAGCTAATTGAATAGCTAATTGAATAGCTAATTGAATAGCTAATATCTTAGCTAATACAAAAATCGTTACTAGTTTCATCGACTTGTAAAAAAAGAAAGGCAAAAAAAAGAGTTTTTGAGTGCTAAGCTCAAGTTTGGTTTGAGATTTTTCTCTATTTTAATCAAAACTTGCAAACTTTACTGTACTTTACATCTAAATTTGATTCTGTAACTTTTCTGGAACTATTTTTGATTCTGTAACTTGATTAATATAGAGATTTAACTATTCTGTAACTATTTTTCCGTTTCATTTCCACCTGAAAATCTTTTTTCCACTGTTTAAACTTGATAAATGAAAGGTTTTCAATTCAATGAAAGGCAAATTGAAAAGTATTTCTTATTTTACTCACAAATCTATGCTCAATAGATTCATCTATGCTCAATATTTTGAATTGACAAACCGGTCTCCTCCCGTGACTCGATCTAGCGACAGCTTGTTGAAATGATCGATCTTCGATCATCGTAGCTGCATCATAGGCATGATCGTACTCATCAAAACCGCCATATGGATCCTCTTCATTCATTTTTTGTTGCACTTATCTCAACTAAAAATCTTATTCTACGAGTAGAATTATTAGATTATTAGATATAAAAAGAATGAAAATAAGAATGAAAATAAGAATGAAAATAAGAATCAAAAAGAATCAAAAAGAATCAAAAAGAATCAAAAAGAATCAAAAAGAATGAAAACAAGAATTCATTTGAAGGAAATCTTGTTTCTAAAGCTGTAAATGAAATTTGTAAAGCTAAAAACAAGATAAACGATATTTAAGGTCATTTAAAGTCATCTAAAGTCATTTAAAGTCATTTAAAGCCATTTAAAGTTATTTAAAGTTATTTAAAGTCATTTAAAGTCATTTAAAGCCATCTAAAGTCATTTAAAGTTATTTAAAGTCATTTTAAAGTCATCTAAAGTCATCTAAAGTCATTTAAAGTCATCTAAAGTCATCTAAAGTCATTTAAAATCATTTAAAGTCATCTAAAGTCATTTAAAGTCATCTAAAGTCATCTAAAGTCATTTAAAATCATTTAAAGTCATTTAAAGTCATCTAAAGTCATTTAAAGTTATTTAAAGTCATTTAAAGTCATTTAAAGTTATTTAAAGTCATCTAAAGTTATTTAAAGTCATTTAAAGTCATTTAAAATCATTTAAAGTCATTTTAAAGCCATTTAAAATCATTTAAAGCCATCTAAAGCCATCTAAAGTCATTTAAAGTCATTTAAAATCATCTAAAGTCATTTAAAATCATTTAAAGTCATTTAAAATCATTTAAAGTCATTTAAAGTCATTTAAAAGAAAATCAAAGTAAGAAAATGAAAACTATAAAATAAAACTTGTCTTTTTTTCAATTAGATATAGTTAGATATGATTTTCTTTTTAAAAATAAGCTTTTAAAATTTATTGAAAAGAGAATTATTGAAAAGAGAAATTGAGGATTGCTTTGTGGTGGCGCGTTGCTATGGGAACTGAGGAGTTCGGTGTGAGTTTGCAAACGAATTTTTCCTTTCTCTAACTATAAAAACAGAGTCTAAGCATGTGAAAATATAGAAATTATCTAAATATTTGAAAATTTCTGTGTGGCGAATTGCCACTGCTCTGCAGTTAGTCAAAATTCAATGCACAAGTTAAAATTTGTTGAGGAAAAGTTGAGGAAAAGATGGATAAACTACCGTAATCAGTTGACGATATTCAGTTGTTCGTTTTTCGTAGTTTGTTTGCTTAAAAACCCATTTAAGCTTGTTTGCTTAAAAGCCCATTATTTAAGCTTTGCTTTGAGTCAGTTGTGTGCTCCCTTTTCTATTCATCGGCTCCAATACGGTTCCTATTTTGATCAAATACGGTTCCGATACAGTTCCGATACGGTTCCAATAAAGGATGAATAGAAAAGGTTCAATACGGTTCCTATTTTGAAGTAAATCCAACCGTCTACTTGCACGAATTCAGAATGCAATTATTCGTTCCTAGGTGTAAACGGATGTGGACTAGAATTTGGGTTAAGTTAAAGAGAGTGGATCCCTTTTTGATATCCCGCCATCTCTAACACCCCGACAACCCAACTCAACTCCTCCAACGGATTAGAAGTTCCTGTGAAATGACCGACCTGTACTGCAGTTGCATAGACCCGGAAGATATGTATCTTTATTTACAGTAGTATAATAAGATGAATAGATTACAAATAAGTGTAAGGGGAGACTCCAAGCCTCGCTTGTCCTCCTAGGCTCCTCACTGTCCTTCTAGGCTCCTCAATGTCCTTCTAGGCTCCTCAATGTCCTCTTAGGTTCCTCACTGTCCTTCTAGGCTCCTCACCGTCCTCCTAGGCTCCTCAATGTCCTCCTAGGCTCCTCAATGTCCTCCTAGGCTCCTCAATGTCCTCCTAGGCTCCTCACTGTCCTCCTAGGCTCCTCAATGTCCTTCTAGGCTCCTCACTGTCCTTCTAGGCTCCTCAATGTCCTCCTAGGCTCCTCAATGTCCTTCTAGGCTCCTCACTGTCCTTCTAGGCTCCTCACTGTCCTTCTAGGCTCCTCACTGTCCTTCTAGGCTCCTCACTGTCCTTCTAGGCTCCTCAATGTCCTCCTAGGCTCCTCAATGTCCTTCTAGGCTCCTCACTGTCCTTCTAGGCTCCTCACTGTCCTTCTAGGCTCCTCAATGTCCTCCTAGGCTCCTCAATGTCCTTCTAGGCTCCTCACTGTCCTTCTAGGCTCCTCACTGTCCTTCTAGGCTCCTCACTGTCCTTCTAGGCTCCTCACCGTCCTCCTAGGCAATCCCAAGGACCGCCCCTTCTCGGCAATAAAAGGGATAAGCACAGGGGAGGACACATTTGCATAAGAATAGACAAATCATTCAATAATAACAATAGTAACTAAAATATCAGTTTGGCTCGGAGCTGACACAATAACGAATTCAAATTCAAACGAATTCAAATAACGAACTCAAATAACGAGAGCGCAATGTGAAAGGATTCAGTTTAAATGATGAAACGTTCGCAAAAAAAGATCAAAACAAAATCAAAACCACCAAATAAACAAATATATGTCGTAGCCGATGAAGGATTTCAGCCGAAGAAGTCTCAGACTTCTTCGACTAGCCGATTAAGTCTCAAAAATGAAATCTTGAGTTATGTATTGACTCAAGTCAATACCACAAACTCAAGCTCTCTAAAAGGCGTTTAAAAGCTAAAAACGCATTCTAGTTGCAGTTGCATTTTGCATTTTTCTTTTTTCGACCAAACTAAACAACAAAAATAAACAATAATACCAAAAAGCGAGTTTATAAACAATAATAAAAAAAATAAACAATAATACCACCGGTTCACGAGTTCTTTGACCTAAAAGAGCAAACAAAATAAAGCGTCATAAAGAAATTCGATAGGACACAAAAGTAAAAGCTTACCAATCTGTTGGCGAACTCCTTTCCGTTGTCGGACTAAAGAATTTGGGACTGAAGAATTTGGGACTAAAGAATTTGGGACTAAAGAATTTTTGGGGCTCCAAAGGTTCCGAATATTTCCATTAGATGATCGACAACTTCAAATTGTGTTTTTCTTTGCAATGCCCGCAAAACGACGAACTTTGTGAAATGATCCTGGTAGACCATCAAAAACTGGTAAACCATCAAAAACTTGAATTCTTCATCGGAAACGGATTGAAGATCGATTAAATCCACCTGGCATCTCTCGTTGAAATCCTTTGTAACAAATTGGCTTCACGACTATTCCTTTCTTTGGTGTTCCTTTTTTGAGCTCGCATTCTGGGCACAACTTGACAAAAATTTCGATTACTTCTTTTGAGATCCCATGATAGTCTCGTAGTCCTTGATTAAATCCGTGCCTTTGACGAATGAGGAAAAGGGCCCTTTTATAGCCTTTGGTTATAGTATGATAAAAGGCGCACTCTTTAGAATGCGTTTTTAGCTTTTAAGCGCCTTTTAGAGAGCTTGAGTTTGTGGTATTGACTTGAGTCAATACATAACTCAAGATTTCTTTTCTGAGACTTCTTCGGCTGAAATCCTTCATCGGCTACGACATATATAAACAGCTGTGGTGTTTATTATTTAGCACTTAACTTTTTGAGGATTTAAATTTCAATTTTAAATTTTCAACGAGAGATGCCAGGTGGATTTAATCGATCTTCAATCCGTTTCCTTCAATCACGGATTTAATCAAGGACTACGAGACTACGATTTCGGATTTAATCAAGGACTACGAGACTATCATGGGATCTCAAAAGAAGTAATCGAAATTTTTGTCAAGTTGTGCCCAGAATGCGAGCTCAAAAAAGGAACACCAAAGAAAGGAATAGTCGTGAAGCCAATTTGTTACAAAGGATTTCAACGAGAGATGCCAGGTGGATTTAATCGATCTTCAATCCGTTTCCGATGAAGAATTCAAGTTTTTACCGAAAATCTCGTCGTGAATTTGTTAAAAACGCTTTTAAAAACGCTAATTTCAAAAGTTTATTTACAAAAAATATGAAAATCGCAAAATAACAAATAAATACTCATCTTTGTCAAGTTCAAATGCAAATTTGTGACTTTAAATGTAAATAAAGTAGATTTAAATGTAAATAGAACAGAAAAAAGGGGAAAAAAGGAGAAAAAAGGAGAGAAAATGGTCGTTGGCGAAAAAAAACAACACCCGTAAAAGAAAATATCGTAAAAATTGTGCAAATTTTGTTTTAATTCGACTAGATTTATTTAGGAAAACACGAAAAAAGAAAAAAAAGCAATATCTTTATCAAAAAAAGATAAAGAACAATATCTTTATCAAAAAAAGATAAAGATATAGATAAAGATAGTTTATAAAAGATTCAGGGGCTACAATGGGATCAGCTTAAAGGCAGAAATAGTTTCGGATCGCGTCCGATCTGATTTAAATCGCGTCGGATCTGATCTAAATCGGATCGGATCGATTCTGATTGCGAATCTTCATTTTTTAGAATCCAATCCGATTCGAAATCATGTCTAGTACTTCGTGTTCTCACAAAAGCATCATCGGCACTGTTATAGCACCGTTTTACTGGCACAGTTACTGTAATCACGCTATTTTATGGAAAATGGTTGTTTAAACTTGTTTAAACTTGTTTAAACTTGGTTAAACTTGGTTAAACCCGCTTAAACTTGGTTAAACCTGCTTAAACTTGTTTAAACTTGGTTAAACTTGTTTAAACTTGTTTAAACTTGGTTAAACTTGTTTAAACTTGGTTAAACTTGTTTAAACTTGGTTAAACTTGGTTAAGCTTGGTTAAACTTGGTTAAACTTGGTTAAACCTGCTTAAACTTGGTTAAACTTGGTTAAACTTGTTTAAACGAGAACTACAGCTGAATTCGAGTCTAAACAAGATAAAAATGAAATATCGAGCCAGGGAAACGTTTATGACGGAACACAAAGCACGGGCTGAACTTTGGACTCTCTGCCTTTCTGCCTTTCTGCGCAAAAGTACACTTCAATTCTAATTTAAACAAAATCTGATGGCGGTGAATTCAAGGGCAAATCGGGCATCCGTTCATAGATATTCTCATCATCGCTCTAAAATTTGAATGAATCAAGCAAAACTGACATTGCAAAAAAGAACCTGAAGCTTTAACAAAGGAATGGTGGCTTAACAAGGGAAGTGGGCTTTAACAAGGGTCTAAACTTGGATTCAAAGTTTGATTCAGAGTTGGATGGATTAGAAAAGATATTTCGGAAATAGGGAATCCAATGCTGTATTTAGAAGGGAACTCCAACCGGCTGAGCTGGGCTATTGACGAACAGTTGATCAATTGATCAATTGATCAATTAGCGATTGATCAATATTACCTTATGGCTTATATGGAAAGTGATGTGCCAGATGAAATGCGATTGTGCGAAGTGCAAAGAACAAAGGATGAAATGCAAAGGACACTAGTCAGCACTTCTTGACGAAAAAGCAAAACGAGAATTCAAACCGGGATCGAACCTGTGAGGTCTGGGACCGGAAGCGAGAGCTTTACCACTCGGCCACGGCTGCAATGGAAAAGGGTCCGTAAGGAGACCACTAAGATTCGGCAAATCGACAAATTTGAGTACTGGCCGTTGCTATTAGCCGAACCTCCGGTTTATAACGGTCCTTTTCCATCAGAGCTAGCATGACGGCTTAGTGTATTGGTAAGTGTGCGGGCCCTCGGTCTCACTTTCTCTCTAACCCCGTGGGTTCGATTCCACTTGGAGCAGAACTTTTTGCTTTCTTTTGCAAAACATTTAAAAATACTTTTTATGGACTTGTTCTGAATTTTCAGATATTTTGCCACCACTGTTCTAGCTTTTTTTGATTCTTTTAACGTATGAAAAACACAAAACCACAAAAAGACAAAGAGACAAAGATAAAAAGAAAAAAGAAGACCATGAAGATAGAAGAAGATATCTTTGGGTTTTGGTCTATGCCTACAGAGCTAGATTAAACTTTCTTTTAGTGATACCTTTGATTGTACGATTTTCGGTCGAATTGGTGGAGCGTTTCTGGGTAAAGTCGGTAGTCTCGGAGTGGGATGAGCTTTCAGCAGGGTTGGTTGTCTGGGAAGCTGAAAAGAAGGTACTGTCGTTACCGTAATTATTCTAATAGAAGCACCCAAAACCAGAGAATACTGTAATAGAACGCCACTTCTAGGTTTAATCTAGATCCATGCATAATTCAAAGCGTCTAACTTTAAGCGGCTCGTTCTCAGCACCGTTTTAAGCTACACTGTGCGCTTAGGTATCAAACGATAGCCTTGAATCTCAGCTATATTTCTGAGCCTTAGGGTTGTAGTCAGACTAGGCTAGAGCTAGGGTTCAGAAGTCAGATCAGAAGTTGTTGAGGATAGTTCAGATAGATCTGGTTTTAGGCCTGATCCCTACATTTCTTTCACTTACCGTATCCCCAGCTATATCACGTAAATTTTTCCATCACTTACCGTATCCCCATCGAAATCCGGGGGCACATCGTAGAAAGGCTCATGATCAAATGAGTACAGTAGTTGCGACGGAGTCGGCGAGTGGGGGCTAAAGGGATACTGTAACTGTTACAGAGCAGTACTCTAGACTTAATCTATATCCAAGCATAGCTACAGTACTCTAGGTTTAATCTAGATCGATATCCAAGCATAGCTCCAGTAACCCACTTGAAGCCAGGCAGCGGCGGTCGAGCCATTGGACGTCCAAGTGGGAGGGTCACGTGAATGTTTCCATTCGGTAATTGCTAAAAGGCACTATAGCATTACAGTATCCTTGTCTACAGTAATCCAGTAATATTTCTGTACCTGCAGTTGCAGTAATTGTGGTGGCACCTCCAGTTGAGCAATTGGAGCCGATGTTGCGTAGTAAACAACCTGATTTTTGAAATTTCGTTTTTTGATTGGTAGACTCAATAAAATGAATAGCTCCAAACGAATCCCCGACCTCGAAAACCCCGAGCACAATTTTACAGCTAAATATCTCCCCTTTGTGCCATCTACAAAGCAAAAGAGAAATCCCTAAATGACCGGCGAGGTGTCCTTTGTGCGCGCTCATAATCGCTCGCCTTCTGGGGCACGGTCCCCATACATAGGTGTCCCCTTTTCGAATTTTCTAACTAGGGAAGGTCGTTTGTTTCGGACACAAACATTCTCTATGTCGCGGGAGAGGGAGGCTGAAAAGTGCTAGTGCCCAAGCTCTAGTGCCCAAGCTCTAGTGCCCAAGCTCTAGTGCCCAAGCTCTAGTGCCCAAGCTCTAGTGCCCAAGCTCTAGTGCCCAAGCTCTAGTGCCCAAGCTCTAGTGCCCAAGCTCTAGTGCCCAAGCTCTAGTGCCCAAGCTCTAGTGCCCAAGCTCTAGTGCCCAAGCTCTAGTGCCCAAGCTCTAGTGCCCAAGCTCTAGTGCCCAAGCTCTAGTGCCCAAGCTCTAGTGCCCAAGCTCTAGTGCCCAAGCTCTAGTGCCCAAGCTCTAGTGCCCAAGCTCTAGTGCCCAAGCTCTAGTGCCCAAGCTCTAGTGCCCAAGCTCTAGTGCCCAAGCTCTAGTGCCAAAGCTCTAGTGCCAAAGCTCTAGTGCCAAAGCTCTAGTGCCAAAGCTCTAGTGCCAAAGCTCTAGTGCCAAAGCTCTAGTGCCAAAGCTCTAGTGCCAAAGCTCTAGTGCCAAAGCTCTAGTGCCCAAGCTCCAGTGCCAAAGCTCTAGTGCCAAAGCTCTAGTGCCAAAGCTCTAGTGCCAAAGCTCTAGTGCCAAAGCTCTAGTGCCAAAGCTCTAGTGCCAAAGCTCTAGTGCCAAAGCTCTAGTGCCAAAGCTCTAGTGCCAAAGCTCTAGTGCCGCAACTCACTTTATCCGGCGAAGATGAGCTTTGTGATACGGTTAAAGCTGACGGTGCTGCATAGATCACCTTGAACTTGAGATTTAATAAGCCGAAAGCTTTTAAAACCTGTGCCATGTTCTGCAGATTCTGCACAGGCGTCGGCGTGTATTTGTTCGTCTCAATCGTTGAATGCGATTGGAAAGTTTTCGGCGGGAAAACGCGAATCACGACGAACACCAGGATTGCCACCATGAGAAAAGCCAAGATCACCAGGTAAATGTTGCTATCACCGATGTTTCCCTTCATGTCACGCAAAGTTGCCACATCTAGAAGCGCAACATTTCACAGTAACAGTTTCGAAAAGACTCCAAAATCCAAAGCTTTGAACTCAAAGAATCCAAAAATCGACAGAGTAGAGGATAACGGTAGTCGACAGTTGTTGACGTTGAGTTAACACGTTTTAAGAAAACAATACCAAAACTGACCATAGCAAACGGGAGCTGCCGGTTCCCAAACTCCTCTCTCCGTACAGAAAACGGTATCATGTCCAATTAGTCGAAACTCTTCCGTCAAACAGATGTACTTGGCCGTTCCATTGACTGTCGTTTTATTCGTAGAGACATCTCCATGACTGATATTTGTCGGCATACCGCAGTCATACGCTGGAAATAAAGAAATAACAACTGTCGAACTGACAACTGACAATTGACAACTGACAGCTAAAATCAAGCATGATTCGGCTAGGATAGAGCAGATAGAATAGATTATCGGCTATTTGATTCGCGGCCTGCCGTTGACAACTTTGTGCTCAAATTTCTCGGTGTTTGGCTGTCTAATCTCAATATTCTTGATATCATTAGATGCGCCAAGTCTTTCTCTATTGATTGATATAAAAACTATTTAAATTCGACCGCTCAACAGCAAGAAATTTGAACTTAAAGTTGCCAATAGCAAATGGGTGGGGATTGCCAATGGCAAAAAGGGGCGGAGCTAGTATAAAAGCCCGCCCCTTGTCAAATCTCCGACAATTGGTCGAACAAGCTATGTAGCTAGATAAATTCCTGAACAAGCTTGGGCAGAGCTAGTTTCTGTCAAGATTGGTCCATAGCTAGGACGAATCGAAACGTTGACAAGCTCAAGCCAGCAAGCTCAAGCCAGCAAGCTCAAGCCAGCAAGCTCAAGCCAGCAAGCTCAAGCCAGCAATCGATGCCTGGCACTAGACCAGCAGTTGATTGATAGCTTTGACTATTGGTTGATAGCCTTATCCAAGGCTTGGCCTGAGATAGCCTTGGCTATCAGAAGTTGATTGATAGCTATGACTATTGGTTGATAGCTTTGACTATTGACTGTTAGACTTATCCAAGCTTTGGCCTGTCTTGATCCATAATAAACGAACGTTCACAAATCGCCGCCTCTCCACTCCAAACGCCGTCTCTGCCACATGTCCGCGATTTCTCGCCGATCAGCTCGTAACCGGCAGAGCAGTCGTATTCGATCTAAAATTTCGATTCGAATCTTCGTAAATCAGTCGTAAATCTTTTCAAGGAACAGTAAATCTCCTCACTTGAGCCTCAAACAGAGTGGTGCCATTGAGAAATTGCACGATTCCATTCGTGACTTGACCCGGATCTCCGCAGTCCAATCCTGTATTTGGAAAAGATTTGGAAAAGATAATGATTCAAATATAAAGAAGCAATCGTTATAAAGCTATAAAGCAAGATTTGTACTTTAAATCTAAAGATAATGATTGAAAACGGATAGTATACAAGATACGGACAAGCTAGATCACAAGATACTAACCAATAGATACTAACCAAAAGCTACCAATCAAAAGATACTAGCCAAAAGATACTAACCACAAGATCCTAATCACTAGTAAAAAGCTTTAAACCACTACTTCTGCATCGGGGAATCGATCCCGACCATCTCCCTCCATCCTGGCATTCTCGTGTTTGATCTCCCTGAGATGTTCATATGTTCAAATTACTGATCAGCCAAACGCCAAACAGACCATTAATCGAAATCCATCCTCACAAGAATAATAGCATTGAGTACCGATCGCGTATGAATGCGAAGAGAACGCCACTCTCCCAGCTTCTCCGACACCCGGTGAGGTACAGAATTTTGGTTCTGAAATTGGTAGAGAATATAGCATTACAGTAGAGCCTCTCTACAAGAGATAAGCTCTATGCAGCTGAAAGCTACAGTAACCAGAAGCTACAGGAATTCAAGCAGAAGCTACAGGAATTGCAGAAGCTACAGGAATTCAAGCAGAAGCTAGTAGGAATTGCAGAAGCTTCAGGAATTCAAGCAGAAGCTACAAGAATCCAAGCAGAAGCTGCAGGAATCCCATTTGATTATGGAGTACTTTAAAAGCACTGTTTTTCACTCACTGCTTTGACAGATATAGTGATTCCAAGCGGTTTGCGCCGACGGGATCCATTTCCATTCCAGCGGTCTTGCCAGCAAGATCTAAAGCTGATAAACGAAAATTTAAGTGAATATCAAGATTAGCTCACCGCTTCTGGTTGGTTTGGTGGTGGTGCTCGTCCCTGTTCAGGCCAATCCGCTTCCCCATCTCTCAGCGGCTCGCCATCAACCCAGCGCCACTCGTTCTCACCAGCGAATAACCCTAGATTTTTACTTTTCTTCAATTGAAGCTCGTTAGCTGGTTGTTGCAGTTTTACTTGGATAAATCTAAGCTTTAAGCCCACTTTAAGCCCACTTTAAGCATATCTTACCTATCCAGAAGAAAGACGATCCAAAATTCGCATTCGACAGAGCTGATCGTAGGCCCTTTCTCACCAAAGGGCTCATCCTCATCGGCAGTGTGGCGCCTCGATCGAGGCATGTTCCCTAGAAAATACTGTAGTAAGAACTATTCACATTACAGCCAGACATGATCTGGCTTCACTTGGCTTACAGGCTTTGCTTTGCTGTTGGCCTGGCCTGGTCACTAAAGGTTTTAGACTAGAAGCTGGGATTGGGCCAGGATTCGACCAGAAGCTGGTTTGATTCAACCGGACCTGGCTGTCTTGGTTTAGAAGCCCGGTTAGAACAGTCCTGGGCCCTGTTTCGCCAACGAATCTTGAATCTTGTATCTTGTATCTTGTATCTTGAACTTTGTATCTTGTATCTTGCAAGGCTTGTCATGGCCTGGCTTCACTTTGCTTACAGGCTCTGTCAACACTGACAGAGGCTCTGTCAACACTGACAGAGGCTCTGTCAACACTGACAGAGGCTCTGTCAACACTGACAGAGCCTTGGCGACGATTTACCCAATTGTGGTCTCCAATTGAATAGCGTGGAATTCGGCGATCTGATCTGAGTGTGATCAGTGTTTGTTCTAAAGCCGATGGCTCAGTTTAGGCCTGTCAGCGTCGAAGAATTATTCTATAATTCTATTTGAGGCTTTCAGCGCCCCCAGAAAGGGTTTGTTGAAAGTTTCACAGGATCTACTTAGAGGACAGGTTGGTTGGTTAGATCTTGGCTAGACTCTTGCTCGATTGGCCAGCCCTGAAGCCAGACCTGAAGCCAGGCCTGAAGCCAGACCTGAAGCCAGGCCTGAAGCTGGCCATTGCTCTGGCCTAGCCAGACATTCCAGGCCTAGACATCTCAGAATCTCTTAGAATTTATCAAAATATACGATACAAGACAAGCGTACAAATTCAAACGACAATTCAAACGAAAATCTCCTCACCTGTGCCTGTTTCCAGTCGGATTTCTCTTCTTTCGATGCAGCAAAGCACATCCCATCGACCACTCCCACCAGCTCCATTCCACTCACCGCACATTGCCAAGCGGACACTGAAAATTGTGATTGAGTGAAAGGATGAATAGAAAGCTCTAATTGTTATGGTTATTTTAATTCCCCGTAATCGCGTTTCTGCAATTTAGAACAAAGAAAGCAGGAGGCACAAATACACGCGTCTTATTTATTTATCTAGGCTCGAGCGGTCATTTTTGACAGATTTGGCGAGAAGAGGTTTAAAGAGAGAGAGCAAATGAGTGATTTGGATGAAAGTTCTTCTAATTGTGCTTGTTTTTGAAGTAACTATAAGAGAAATGATGGCTCTTGAGTGGTTTAGGGGAATATTGAGAGTTTAAGGGACTTTTGAGAGTTTAAGGGAGTATTGAGAGCTTAGGGGACTATTGAGAGTGTATGAGACTTTTGGGGCTCTTAGGGGACTTTTGGGGCTCTTAGGGGACTTTTGGGGCTCTTAGGGGACTTTTGGGGCTCTTAGGGGACTTTTGGGGCTCTTAGGGGACTTTTGGGGCTCTTAGGGGACTTTTGGGGCTCTTAGGGGACTTTTGGGGTGCTTAGGGGACTTTTGGGGTGCTTATGCGACTTTTGGGGCTCTTAGGGGACTTTTGGGGTGCTTATGAGACTTTTGGGGCTCTTAGGGGGCTTTTGGGGTGCTTAGGGGACTTTTGGGGTGCTTATGAGACTTTTGGGGCTCTTAGGGGGCTTTTGGGGTGCTTAGGGGACTTTTGGGGTGCTTATGAGACTTTTGGGGCTCTTAGGGGGCTTTTGGGGTGCTTAGGGGACTTTTTGGGGTGCTTATGAGACTTTTGGGGCTCTTAGGGGGCTTTTGGGGTGCTTAGGGGACTTTTGGGGTGCTTATGAGACTTTTGGGGCTCTTAGGGGACTTTTGGGGCTCTTAGGGGACTTTTGGGGTGCTTATGCGACTTTTGGGGCTCTTAGGGGACTTTTGGGAGTTCAGGGGGGCTTTTAGGGCGTTTAAGGGACTTTTGGTAGATTGAGAGTTCAGGGGACTATTGAGAGTTTAAGAGACCTTTCAATAGATAGTCAAGCTCTAAATGCTTACAACTTACTGTTGAGGTAATATATTTACTTTTAATTCCCCTAAACACCCAAGAGTCGAGAAGATCTAATGTGAATCAAGGATGCCAGCCTACCAGCCCAATCAAAGATCCATTCATTATCTAGTGTCCACTAGATGATGAATGGATAGATGAATGATGGATAGATGAATGAATGAATGGATAATTAGATGAATCCGTTTTAGTACAATAGCTACAATAGTACAATGGTACAATAGTACAATAGTACAAGCCTGGTGCCTACTTACTATATTTTCAAGTGATTCAAGAACCCCACTACTGACTTCAGAATGTTTAACACATTCAGGAAATCCAAGGCTGTTTATCCAAGGCTTGAAAAGATCCCTGTGACGCTGAAGCTGTCGCAGACTAATAAGACTCTAGAAATACCGTACTCTAAACAATGTCGGGCGTACTAGCGTATAAAAGGATGCCTCCTTCTCCATTCCTTCTTCAGTTTTAAGATTGGTAGTTTAGGGAAGGGTGCTGGCTGCCAGAGAGGTGCCAGGAAGCTTTACAACTTGAATCAGCGTTGAGCTGATCGATTCAATCAACCTTTCACTCATTGATCAAAGATTGCGCTTAATTAAACACGAGAAATGAAGAGAGAGAGAGAGAGAGAGAGATCGTTGAGTGCTCTCAATGCCATTAGTTGATTCTTTTTCTGTCTTCTGTTTATTTGGTCAACTCTCCAAAAGCAAAAGGGGGGGAAAGTGACGGTGTGAAAAGTGACAGTCACTTTTTTTCTCTTTTCTCTTCTCATTCACGTTGGATACCTTTTCAGAGAACCCAAAAAAAAAGCGAGTTTACGCAGTGATACGTTTGATGACGATTGAAATGACGCGCGACACTTGACAGCTTGTTTTTCTCTTGCTCAACAAAACATAAACGCGTCCTTTCTCGTGTCTAGAGAAGAAAGAAGAAATTCAGTGCAGTAGGATGAGTGCGTTTGCACTTTTTAACCGCTTTGATGGACAAATCAAATTGTGGAAAGCCTAGGGAAATGAAATTTGAGTCCAAAATGAGAAGGCAAAATGAGAAGGCGATTTTTGAAGCTTGTTTTTTGAAGCTTTGGAATTTTAAAGTAAATAAGGCAATGATGTTACTAATTAGGTAGGCTTTAGTGCGTATAAAAGGTCCGTCGCCCCGCCCCCTTTTGCCAATGGCAATCCCCGCCACCCTGGTATTGGCAAAACTTTAAACTCGAATTTCTTGGCTTTAGGCTGTCCAATTTCAATAGTTTTTCTACCAATCGATAGAGAAAGACTTGGCGCATCTAATGATACCAAAAATATTGAAATTGGACAGCCCTACGCCGAGAAATTTGAGTTCAAAGCTTTCCCAATGGCAAACGGACGGGGCGCCTTTTATACGCGCTTCTAAAGTAACTTTAGAAGATTTAGAAGATCTTTAGAAGATCTAAAGTAACTTTAGAAGACTTTTATTCATTGTACATTGTTAGGGTTTAATCTTAGACGATCTTTGATCGACTTTGACATCAGCCAGACATCTTGACATTAGCCGGAGTAGCCGACACTAGCCGAAGTAGCCGACACTAGCCGGAGTAGCCGACACTAGCCGAAGTAGCCGACACTAGCCGGAGTAGCCGCTGTTCGTTTTGCACCTCTTCCAGCGCGATCAGATCCCTGGATCTTTGCTTTGATGAGCACCTTCTTCAAACTTTCAATATTTTTATGTGGTTTTTGCACATGCCCTGGCTTCAAGAACACTCCAGACTGAGTAATCCAATGGGTTAAGCTCGGGTGAGCTGGGTGGCCACTCAGAACAACGAGATCAAGGGATTTGACGGATTTGAACCCAGCTAGGAGCTGGGATTTGAACCTCTCGCTTCACTAAGCAACCTCTCACTGTAAAGTAATAAAGTCTGTAAAGCTTGGATGCAAGAGCAATACTTGCACTTTGCACAAAGTTTTCTTATATACAATTTACTTCTCTATAAGGTCCCCATGTCAAAGAATGAGTGAGATGAGAGGATGTTGAGAAGTGTAAGGCTTTAAAGAAAAAAGTATCGCCTCTGGACCCATACAAAGCCAAATACAAGGCCAAATACAAGGCAAAGACTGTAAAAGAAAAGAAAAGAAAAGAGAAAGCACCTTGTTCTCGAGATCTCGTAAAGAAAGCTCTCAAAGGGAAAGAAGGGGAGAAGAAGGAGGAGGAGAGGAGGAAGAAGAAGAGGAGGAGGAAGAAGAAGAAGAAGAAGAGGAAGAAGAAGAAGAGGAAGAGGAAGAAGAGGAAGAAGAGGAAGAAGAAGAAGACAAAGAAAAGACAAATAAGTGAAGAAAGGACACATTTTGATCGATTTGTGGACAAGAATCGATGATTTAAACTCCAGTCTACAGCAATTTAAACATTTAAACAAATCAAACCCTTCAGAAACAGGTTCTGACATCGATTTTTAAAAGATTTTCAATTAAAATATAAATTCAAATGTTCAAGACTTTTGAAAATTCAAAATTAACCTTTTTTTTTTTTGAAATTTTTGATTCAGAAGAATGATAAAAATGATAAAATGAAAAAAACAAAAGAAATGAATATTGATTGAAACAAAGCAATGAATACAAACCGGCATTCGTTGCATAGACGTGAACAGTGCAAAGGTGGAGTCGAGATTGAGCGGTGATCACGACACGGGACACCTGAAAGTTGTGACGAGTTTGTGGGGGGGGATTTGAAACGCGCCCCCCTCCGCTTTTGCCATTAGCAAAACTTTGAACTCAAATTTCTTGGCTTTGGGCTGTCCAATCTCAATATTCTTTTTATCATTAGCTGCGCAAAGACCTTTTATACACGCCCCGCCCCTTTGCCATTGGCAATCTAACATTGGCAATCTTTGAGTTGAAATATCTCGATGTAGGGCTGACCAATTCAAATGTTTTTGGTGTCGTTAGATGCGCCAAGTCTTTCTCTATCGATTGGTAGAAAAACTATTGAAATTGGACGGCTTAAAGCCAAGAAATTCGACTTCAAAGCTTTACCAATGACAAAAGGGACGGGGCGCGTATAAAAGCCGTCCCTCTTCTTTTCCCCGCCGCCTTATCATTGGTAAAACTTTGAAGTCGAATTTCTTGGCTTTGGGCTATTCAATTTCAATAGTTTTTCTATCAATAGATAGAGAAAGATTTGGCGCATCTAACGACACCAAAAACATTTAAATTGAACAGCTCAACACCGAGATATTTCAACTCAAAGATTGCCAATGTTAGATTGCCAATGGCAAAGGGGCGGGGCGTGTATAAAAGGTCCGTCGTCTAGCCCTCTTTTGCCATTGGCAATCTCCGCCACCCTGGTAAGCTCAAAGTTAGATGGCCAATTGCCAAAGCCTAAGGATTGCGAAAGGAGCGGGCCGCCTTTTATACGCGCCCCACCCTGCCCCTTTTGCCAATCCAACTTTGAACTCGAATTTCTTGGTGTTGGGCTGTCGAATTTCAATAGTTTTTCTATCAATCGATAGAGAAAGATTTGGCGCATCTAATGACACCAAAAACATTTCAATTCGTTAGTCCAAAGTAAAGAAATTTAAGTTCAAAGTTTTGCCAATGGCAAAAGACCTTAGCCCCGCCCCCCTCTTGCTATTTCATTCTTAAAAACTAACCCTTGACGCTTTACAGCGAACAACAACGGTTTGATTTGATGAGAAAGTGTGCGAGGCGATGTCACAGCTGAAAATAAGCGTTGAAAGTAAGCTTTTGGTGTAGATTTAGTAATTGGAAATGCTATATAGAGTCTATAGTCAGTGAATCTAATAGATTTTGTTTTATTTCTCTATTTCTTTCTCAAAATCACAAACTTCTGTGATTCACCATCAGTTGTGACGAGTTCAACGCTATCGATTTCCGACGAGTCGACCCCTAATCGGATTCCGATCGAGTGGACCTAAGACTAAGAAATTGATGGTTGGGAAAGTGACGGAGTGAAAGAGATCGAGAGTTAGAAGGGTTAGAATGATTGGAATGATTGTTCTAATAGATTAGAATGATTAGAATGATTGTTCTAATAGATTAGAATGATTAGAATAATTAGAATGATTGTTCTAATAGATTAGAATGATTAGAATGATTGTTCTAATTGATTAGAATGATTAGAATGATTTTTCTAATTGATTAGAATGATTAGAATGATTGTTCTAATTGTTCTAATCGATCAGAACGATTAGAATGATTGTTCTAATCGACTAGAATGATTAGAATGATTGTTCTAATAGATTAGAATGATTAGAATGATTAGAATGATTGTTCTAATAGATTAGAATGATTAGAATGATTAGAATGATTGTTCTAATAGATTAGAATGATTAGAATGATTAGAATGATTGTTCTAATAGATTAGAATGCTTGTTCTAATAGATTGGAATGATTAGAATGATTAGAACGATTGTTCTAATTCTTAGAATGATCAAAATGATTGTTCTAATCGATTAGAATGATTAGAATGATTAGAATGATTGTTCTAATTGATTAGAATGATTAGAATGATTGTTCTAATCGTTCTAATCGATTAGAATGATTAGAACAATCATTCTAATCATTCTAATCAATTAGAACAGTCATTCTAATCATTCTAATCATTCAGAACGATCGCTCTGGTCGCTCACAAATCAAATATACTCAAAAACAATCACTTCATATTCTCCCAGCAATTCCACAGCCCACCACGATCGACTTTCGTTATCTAAAAGTTTATATAAGATTGGTTAGTGTCGATCTTGTCGATCTTGTGCTATTTATTGTAATCGTTTCGAAACCTGTAAGACTGCATCGTCCTTTAATCGGCGCCTCAGATGGCCCACCCGATGACTGTTCCGTTGGTCTTGATTTAGCTACATCAATCGCACAAACCGGAGCTTGACTCGACCAACGACCATTGCTTTGGCACTAGATAATAAAGATATTTAATCGTTACTAGTTATATCTCTACACATTTTAGAGCTAGATTTGTACAGTAGATCAGCTAGATCAGGTTGGATCAAAGTTAGCACAAGTCCAAGCCAAAGCCGAGCCAAGATCTGCGGCAGAACCAAGCGAGAACCAGCAGTTAAAGCCAGGCAGGCAAAGTGAAAGCCAGTAAAGCATAACAGCAGCAATAGCTCTTTCAATAGCTCTTCCTCTTCCAATAGCTCTTCCTCTTCTAATAGCTCTTCCTCTTCTAATAGCTCTTCCAATAGCTCTTCCTCTTCCAATAGCTCTTCCTCTTCTAATAGCTCTTCCTCTTCTAATAGCTCTTCCAATAGCTCTTCCTCTTCCAATAGCTCTTCCTCTTCTAATAGCTCTTCCTCTTCTAATAGCTCTTCCAATAGCTCTTCCTCTTCCAATAGCTCTTCCTCTTCTAATAGCTCTTCTAATAGCTCTTCTAATAGCTCTTCCAATAGCTCTTCCCTCTTCCAATAGCTCTTCCCTCTTCTAATAGCTCTTCCAATAGCTCTTCCTCTTCCAATAGCTCTTCCTCTTCTAATAGCTCTTCCTCTTCTAATAGCTCTTCCAATAGCTCTTCCTCTTCCAATAGCTCTTCCTCTTCTAATAGCTCTTCTAATAGCTCTTCTAATAGCTCTTCCAATAGCTCTTCCTCTTCCAATAGCTCTTCCTCTTCTAATAGCTCTTCCAATAGCTCTTCCAATAGCTCTTCCAATAGCTCTTCCTCTTCCAATAGCTCTTCTAATAGCAGCTTCGTCTTCCAATAGCTCTTTCAATAGATACGTATAAGTGTAGCTAATTGGTAGAGTGTTAGCTCAATCAGTGAGAGGTTGCTTAGTGATCCCAGAGGTTCAAAGGAGAGGTTGAAATCCCAGCTCCCAGTTGGATTCAAATCCCAGCTCCTAGCTCGGTTCAAATCCAAGCTCCCAGCTAGGTTCAAATCCCAGCTTCCAGTTGGGTTCAAATCCCAGCTCCCAGCTTTAACCAATCCTTGTCCAACTCTACATTGTTACTTTACTATACAATGATTTAGAAGTAACTTTTAGAGTAATTTAGAGTAGTAGTGTAGTAATTTAGAGTAGCTAAATCAAAGTTTAAACAATATTAAGCTCTAAAATCATCTCCAAACCCTAGACAAAGTCTCAATATTTCTTGAAATTCTCTCTCACCGTTCTCTCCTCAGCGCCGACTCGTTCAAAACCCAGAGCACAACTGTATCTAAAGATTTCTCTGTTCTTTTTGAAGCTAAGCCACTTTATAAGATAAAAAACTATATGTTTTAAAGCAAATTTTATGTAGATTCTTAAACTAAAGCTAAATTAAAAATTTTTTGATTTAAAGTTGGAGAAAATGAGCCTCATACCCATGACCCTTATGCCCATGACCCTCATATCCATATCCTCATATCCATCAGCTACAGCCTCTACCCCATCAGCTACAGCCTCTACCCCATCAGCTACAGCCTCAACCCCATCAGCTACAGCCTCAACCCCATCAGCTACAGCCTCTACCCCATCAGCTACAGCCTCTACCCCATCAGCTACAGCCTCTACCCCATCAGCTACAGCCTCTATCCCATCAGCTACAGCCTCTACCCCATCAGCTACAGCCTCTACCCCATCAGCTACAGCCTCTACCCCATCAGCTACAGCCTCTACCCCATCAGCTACAGCCTCTACCCCATCAGCTACAGCCTCTATCCCATCAGCTACAGCCTCTATCCCATCAGCTACAGCCTCTACCCCATCAGCTACAGCCTCTACCCCATCAGCTACAGCCTCTACCCCATCAGCTACAGCCTCTACCCCATCAGCTACAGCCTCTATCCCATCAGCTACAGCCTCTATCCCATCAGCTACAGCCTCTACCCCATCAGCTACAGCCTCTACCCCCATCAGCTACAGCCTCTACCCCATCAGCTACAGCCTCTATCCCATCAGCTACAGCCTCTATCCCATCAGCTACAGCCTCTACCCCATCAGCTACAGCCTCTACCCCATCAACCTGAGCTCAGACTAGCTACAGTTTTTGGTTTCAATTTTGGGGATTTTCTCTAAAACAAAACGAGTTATTTCTCTCATTTCTAAACGAGTTTTTGCTTTAATTTAGCTTTAATTTAGCTTTAATTTAGCTTTAATTAGCTTCAATTTAGCTTCAATTTAGCTTTAAGATATAGCTTTCATTTTAGAAGAGTCAAATTTGCAAAGCTATTACAGAGCTTTCGTTTATTGTTGTTTTTAGAAACAAACCTAGCTATAGTCCCTGGTGAATAAGGGCCAGCATCAGCAAAAATCACATGCCCATTTTCGGGAACCCATGGTTGATAGCAAAGGGATTCAACACCTAAACAAATCACAATTTCTTGTTTTTGAGGTCTACTACTCAAAAAATAGAAACACATCCTTTCTGATGCCTTTATCTTAACAAATAAGCCGATGTGTAAATGAATGGTGATGTGAATGAATGGTGATGCTTCACTGCTTTGCTTTATTGCTTCAGAAAGGATATGTTTTTGTGTTCAAGCTAGAGAATCGCTTGACTACAGCTAGAGAATCGCTTCTACAGCTAGAGAATAGCTTCTAAAGCTAGGGAATCGCTTCTAAAGCTAGAGAATAGCTTCTACAGCTAGAGAATCTCTTCTACAGCTGGAGAATCGCTTCTACAGCTAGAGAATCGCTTCTACAGCTAGAGAATGCTTGTCTACAGCTAGAGAATCTCTTCTACAGCTAGAGAATAGCTTCTACAGCTGGAGAATATCTTCTACAGCTAGAGAATCGCTTCTACAGCTGGAGAATCGCTTCTACAGCTGGAGAATCGCTTCTACAGCTAGAGAATGCTTGTCTACAGCTAGAGAATCGCTTCTACAGCTGGAGAATCGCTTCTACAGCTAGAGAATCGCTTCTACAGCTAGAGAATAGCTTCTACAGCTGGAGAATAGCTTCTACAGCTGGAGAATATCTTCTACAGCTAGAGAATCGCTTCTACAGCTAGAGAATCGCTTCTACAGCTAGAGAATAGCTATCGTTTTCTAGAGCTTATCTCGTCTAGAGCTTAGCTAAAGCTAAAGCTCTATTACAAACCTATGAAAAAGCTGAACAATGAGAAAAGAATAAAGCCATAAGGCCTTCTTCTCGTTAAAAGCTTCTTCATCCAGGTCGTTGATATTTTCTCTTCAACACAACGAAGAATTTGATGGTCGCGTAGAACATTCAGCGGAATGGAGGTTAGAGATACAGAAATGGGAATACAATAGCAATGATGGGTTGGCTGTGTCTAGGAATTGATTGATGTCTAGAAAGATGTTTTAGAAATGTTTTAGAAATGTTTTAGAAAGATTTAAAGATATCTATAGCGATTTAAAGCTAGATTGATTTCTTGTTGAGGAAGGAATGAAATATTGGATCAAGGAATATTGGATCTAAAAAGAATAAAAGCTTGACTCTAAGCAGAAGTTTACTGCTTTAAATAAAGCTGAAGTAAAGCTGAAGTAAAGCTGAAGTAAACTCAAGTAAACTCCAGTAAACTTCAATTAAACTCAAGTAAACTCAATTAAACTCCAGTAAACTTCAAGTAAACTCCCGTAAACTTCAATTAAACTCAATTAAACTCCAGTAAACTCAATTAAACTCAAGTAAACTCAATTAAACTCCAGTAAACTTCAATTAAACTCCAGTAAACTTCAATTAAACTCAAGTAAACTCAAGTAAACTTCAATTCAACTTCTAGTAAACTTCAAGTATCAGAATCTAGCAAAGATCACAAATATTGTCGATTGAAAGATTTGAAAAGAGGATCCGGATTGCTGGGGTGGGACTGAGAGAGACAGGACCCAGTGTCAACCCACTCGACACAACGGAAAGACAAGAGGTGGAAGAGAGGGGAAAGGGGGAACAAAGGGAAAAGACAGGGAAAGACAGGGAAAGAGAGGGAAAGACAGGGAAAGAGAGGGAAAGAGAGGGAAAGACAAAAAAGACAGTGAAAGCCTGGGTGGGACTTGGATTCGATCAGCCCTTGGGTAGTTTTTTGAAAGAAAAGAAGGCTGTCGTTCTGAGCTCTCAGGGTTTTCCTTCAGGTATCCAACCAAACTCTAGGCCTGGGACTCTTTGGGTACTCTGAAGGGCTTCAGGATCTTTCTTTCTCAATCTCTGGATTCTGAATCTGATTCTGAATCTGATTCTGAATCAATCTGAATCAATCTGGATCTGAATCTGAATCAATCTGGATCTGAATCAATCTGGATCTAACTCTGAATCAATCAGAATCAATCAGAATCAATCAGAATCAATCAGAATCAATCAGAATCAATCAGAATCAATCAGAATCAATCAGAATCAATCAGAATCAATCAGAATCAATCAGAATCAATCAGAATCAATCTGAATCAATCAGAATCAATCAGAACCAATCTGAATCAATCAGAATCAATCTGAATCAATCAGAATCAATCTGAATCAATCAGAATCAATCAGAATCAATCAGAATCAATCTGAATCAATCTGAATCAATCAGAATCAATCTGAATCAATCTGAATCAATCAGAATCAATCTGAATCAATCTGAATCAATCAGAATCAATCTGAATCAATCTGAATCAATCAGAATCAATCTGAATCAATCAGAATCAATCAGAATCAATCAGAATCAATCTGAATCAATCTGAATCAATCAGAATCAATCTGAATCAATCAGAATCAATCAGAATCAATCAGAATCAATCTGAATCAATCTGAATCTTCAAGATCTTTCTGAGAGTTTTCTAGTTAAAGCAAACACTTGTTTGGTGTTGAATTCGTTTATAAAGCTATTGGCTATGCTGGCTATTGGCTATTGGCTATTCGCTATTGACTAATAAGTGTTTCAAACCTATCAAAAAGCTATTAAGCCAGGTTTTTCTTGAACTTTATGCCCAAATTTGGATGAATTCCCTTAAATGAATTTTCCTTTAGCTTCAACGATTCCTCTTTTGCTAGATTCTTGCTACAAACTCTCGAATTCTACAAATCCTTTTTGAACCATCACTTAAACAATAGCTTAAATTGAGGCGGGAGAGTTCAATCTGACAATGAAGTCAGTTCAGTTCTGTCAGTCAATTCTGTCAGTCAGTTCTGTCAGTCAATTCTGTCAGTCAGACAATCAGTTCAGACTGATCTGACTTGTTTGTCTGATTGTCTGACCTTAGCTATGGCTTAGGTCTTAGAGATCTGAGCCTTTACCCAACAATCAATTATTCTAAACTTTTTAGAACCAAGAAAACACAGTTTTCTTCAATTCTTTTCTTTTTCCAAAAGACTTTGTCGGTGTCGATTGCAGAGCCAGCGGCTTATTTGTCGAACGGTGTGTGTGAGAAAAATCCCCAACAACAACAATGAAAGACAGCGATGAAATGAAGAAGTGAATGTGAGAAAAGAGGGGAAAGACACCGACGGGAGGATCGGCTCATAGAAAGGGGGAGAAATTGATCGGTCAACGATTCAGGAATTCGAGATTGAATGTAAAATGTACTCTAGTGAACTTCTTCAATCCTGTACTTACTAGGGAGCGTTGTCAACTTCTAGAGAACGTTGTTACCTTCTAGAGAACGTTGTCAACTTCTAGAGAACGTTGTCAACTTCTAGAGAACGTTGTTAACTTCTAGAGAACGTTGTTACCTTCTAGAGAACGTTGTCAACTTCTAGAGAACGTTGTTAACTTCTAGAGAACGTTGTCAACTTCTAGAGAACGTTGTTACCTTCTAGAGAACGTTGTTAACTTCTAGAGAACGTTGTTACCTTCTAGAGAACGTTGTCAACTTCTAGAGAACGTTGTTAACTTCTAGAGAACGTTGTCAACTTCTAGAGAACGTTGTTAACTTCTAGAGAACGTTGTCAACTTCTAGAGAACGTTGTCAACTTCTAGAGAACGTTGTCAACTTCTAGAGAACGTTGTCAACTTCTAGAGAACGTTGTCAACTTCTAGAGAACGTTGTTAACTTCTAGAGAACGTTGTTAACTTCTAGAGAACGTTGTTAACTTCTAGGAAAACATCTAATCTGATCTGATAGCCTATCTGATGCAGTTTTACACGCTGTTTCCGAATCTGAAATCATTTTTTGCCAAACGCTTCTCTATAGCGAGATATTTCGCATAAAAGCTCATAAAATGAGCGAAAAAGAGTAAAAGAAACATTGGCTTATATAGACAGAGCCTTATATAGGGCCTTATATTATATAAACTCGAATCCTCGGGCTTCAAAAGGCCATACGACCAGCAGACGCGCGCACCACCGAAGCCGTTGACTGAAGACTGAAGACAGCCCTTATAAAGAAACTCGAAAGCTTGTATGTCAAATATCTCGCTATAGAGAAGCGTTTGGCAAAAACTGATTGCAGATTCGGAATCAGCGTGAAAAACTGCATCAGATAGGCTATTTCCCGAGTCAAAAGCCACAATAAGTTAACAAAATTCCCTAATAAGACTGTCCGTCTGTCTATCTGTGCGCGCTACTCCGCGCCCATAGGGCCGTTTGCAATGATTTTTGCGGAAAAAGCACGAATTCAAGGTGAACTTTGACTGGCCACCTAGTGCACTTCATAGAATCGAGTACGAGGATTCCGAATCTGAAATCAAAATCTACCAAATGATTACCAAAATCTACCAAATGATCAAATAAAAACTTTAATCGAAAATGCTTAAACGAAGCATCAAAAAAGAAGAAAGAAGCAAAGCAAAAAGAAGAAACCAAAAAGAAGAAACCGAATCAGAGGCCGAACCCCGATCCTGTGAGAGGAAGCCTAACGCCCTATCCACTAGGAGGAAGCGTTGCGTTGGTAGCCTGTGGTTGGAAGCCTAACGCCCTATCCACTAGGCTATCAACGCAACGCTTCTTTCTAGTGAAAAGAACCTTTTAAATCTAGAAATGAGGCTTTTAGGGGATCGGTTTGAGCATTTTCGATTGAAGTTTTACCATCCTGGAAAACCATTTTTTAGATTTTGATTTCAGATTCGAATTCCTTATAGTCGTTTCTATAAAAGCGCACTAAAGGTTTAGAAAAAAGCTCAGCTTGAGGTGAAGAGAGGCGAGCTCAAAGAAGCTCAAAGAAGCTCAAAGAAGTTCAAAGAAGCTCAAAAAACCTCAAAAAACCTCACAAAATCTCGCCTTTCTCTAGTCAAACTTTAACGAATGAATCTTGGCCAGATATCGATATCGATATCAATCAAATATGCAAAACAGGGTGGACAGGCGTCGAAACACGGAAAACCGGGGGAATATTCCGTTGATCGGCTGACGCTTGACGCCTTGACGCGCCTCCTACTGGACACCGCACCTGCCGAGGCTTTCATCTAGGCAGGTTTCTAGGCCTCTTTCCCGTCTTTGCATAGTTATTTCCAAAGAGTTGGTCCACTCATCTTTTTCCCTTTTTCCTTTCCCTTCAATCGCCGCTTTTTTCGAGCACCCATCTTTTTGACGGCTTTTGAGGGGTGTGAAAACAAAAGAAAGCAAAAAGAAAGCAAAAAAAGAAAACAAAAAGCACAAAAAAAGTGGAACATAACGTGTAGCAAGGGGGGAATCTTTTTCAAGCAAGCATAGACGGTGGGCTTTTTTCAAGCAGGCATAGACGGTGGGCTTTATTTTTCAAAACCCGAGTACTTCTGGATCTTTAGCCCCGGTCAGCTAAACGAGAATACCATAAATTTCCGCCAGCATTTCTCTAGTTGAGTAAAGAGAATGGAAAAACCCTCTATTATTACGTTATTAGGTTTCTTTTCGTTAATTTTACCTTAAATCTATTCAAAAGGATCTTAAAATTAGGAAAAAAAACATGTAAAAATTCAATGACAAAGTAAGAAGTCAAAAATCAATTTGCATATTAACTTGTTGACGAAGGAAAGATTCGAAAATACCAATAACGCCCTATCCACTATGCTACCAACGCGACGGTTCCCGCTAGTGAAAGAAGGCTTTTAAATCTAGAAAGGAGGCTCGAAAATACCAATAACGGAAAATACCAATTGGAACCGTATCTGAACCATATTGGAATCATATTGGAATCATATTGGAACCGTATCTGAACCATATTGGAACCATATTGGAACCGTATCTGAACCATATTGGAACCATATTGGAACCGTATCTGAACCATATTGGAACCATATTGGAACCGTATCTGAACCATATTGGAACCATATTGGAACCATATTGGAACCGTATCTGAACCATATTGGAACCATATTGGAACCGTATCTGAACCATATTGGAACCATATTGGAACCATATTGGAACCGTATCTGAACCATATTGGAACCATATTGGAACCATATTGGAACCGTATCTGAACCATATTGGAACCATATTGGAACCGTATCTGAACCATATTGGAATCATATTGGAATCATATTGGAACCGTATCTGAACCATATTGGAACCATATTGGAACCATATTGGAACCTTATTGGATCAATACCGAACAATAAAGGAGCCATAAAGGAACCATAAAGGAACTATATAGGAACTATAAAGAAACTAAACAGGAACTAAACAGGAACAATAAAGGAACTATAAAGGAACTATAAAGGAACTATAAAGGAAAATAGCAACCATAAAGAAACTATATTATTTTTATGTTTTCACCATTATCAAAGCCAGGAAATGACAAGGTTAAACGAAAAGTCAGCCCCGATTTGCTCTGACTTAAAGGATTGGCTCAAAAATGGCTCTAAAATGACTCAAAAATGGCTCTAAACTGACTCAAAAATGTAGCCAATTGATAATCTTTCTATCAACTACTTTCAGCTTTTAAAACCATCTCAAAAATGAACCCGGAAGGGATTCCCAGCAAAGCAAGCTTATTGCTTAGCGAGAGAAATCCACTTCTCCAAAAAGGACACTCAAGTTTTGGTGGCGTGTTGACTCGTTTGGGCTCTTTCTTCTCACAAGGGGGGGACACACCTTGTCAAACGATTTGTAATCGAATGCATTATTGCCGTGGTATTGTCATGTAAGTAGCAGATTTTCTTCTTTCTAAAACGTAAAAGAAAAAGAAAGTAAAGAGAAATGTAAAAGACAACAAAACTACTAGTCAGTTACTAGCCAGTTAACTGTGCTTTAAATGAAATCCTTTTTTTAGACAGCACTCTAAAACTTTATTAACACCCGCTTCTCAACTTTTCTCATTCTTTATTGTATCGTTATAGCATTTCACTGAAAATCAAACATCTAACAAACATTATATTTACCGTATGTATTCTAATAGAAGCGTATACGCTTCTATTTTTCAATCATTCCACAAAATTGCTTCTATTCAAGGCTGCGCTTCTATTTTTCAATGACTAAAAAAAATTAATGAGTAGTTCGTAGAAAGGAAACCTTTAGGTAACAGTCAAAGCATAATTCTCGATTTCATTTACCGTTAGAGTCGCAGACTTCAATCGAGATGCCACTATCTAAATCAATGTAAGAATATGCAAGCAAGATCCTTTGCTATAATATCCATAGTTATTGCTTTTATTTTCCAAACACCACCGCAAAATTGCTTTATTCGAATAAATACGGTAATAGAAAATTTGCAGGAAAGACTTAACATTGCCACGAATTCAGCTATCACATGAAGAAGATGTACAAGAAATTACATAAATTAATAATGAAAATGTTGAAATAACATTAATTTTTGTCTTTAGCCATCTTTGATGAAGAAAACGTGAAACTAAAATTTTTTTCAACCAAACAAAGTACATTATGTCTAATAAGCGTCCCATTGCTACTTTATGAAAAAAACACAATTTATTCTCTACTTCAATCAAAAAGCTGAAGAGTGCCAAACTTCTAACTCGTATCTTTCTTTCATTTGCATCTTTAAACATTTCAAAACCACTCACGTCGCCCGCGCGAAATGGTTGCAGCTGAAGCTTTTGGCTGAATTTATTGCAATCTCGATCGATCACCTCAGCCCAATTCTCGCGGTGAAAATCCTTTGGCGATACTTCGACTCCACAAAAGGCCGAGAGCTTCGATCCCAGATTTGACAACTAAAAATAAAGTCATACGAAGATCAAAAATCAACAAACTCTCAGATCCTGATTATTCTCGTCGTGAAGTTGAACCATTGAAATGATAGCGTCGACCATCACATCTCGTTTATCACGTGGGCCGCTTAGCTTCTAAAAAAACTTCTTATCAAGCAGTATCGGTATTTGGTCATTTTAGTATTCCTTCACACAGTTCAGTTTAAAGTTTCGTAAAAAACTGACTAGTTGATAATCCGCAAGCATTTCGTAGGGAGTTTGTGTTTCAGCAGATCGCTTAGACATCACTTGCCTAAAATTGTATCGATATTATAAAGCATTAGATATCCTACTGAAAAGCGCTACTAGATGATCCGAGACGAGGAGTATTTCCATATCCGATTCGCTGTGGAGCCACATACGACGACGATGATTGATGAAGATCGTGGTTAGAAACCTAAAACTAAATGCTATTCAGTCAAAAACAAATTCTGACCGAAAGGTGTCCAGGAGTACTGGAATCGCCGCGTTGAGGAACACGTCGAGATGCTCCTTGTGAAGCCTAAAATAAAAGATCTACATTATTTTTAACATTTTAACTTACTGGACGAGCTGCCATTGATGTAGGCTGAGCAATATTGTTGCCTTGATACCTAAATGCTTAGAATGAGACAATTAAACAAAGGCAAATTTACCGTTGTTCTGGTGGATAGTTTCCTTGTACAAATGGTAGCTCACCATAACCGTAAGGAGAGTTCGATGATCTAAAATTGTCCTGGAAATATGATTTATTGCATTGACAAATAGTTTAAAGTCAATCAACCACTTACACAAGATCCGTTGGAACATTTGCCACACGTGGTGACTGATTATAGGTGGATTGATTCTGAGCCGGCACTCCTTGATGTGGACCGTGTGAACGACGTTGACTTCCATGCGAATCATTGGGATTTTGAATCTAAAGATTATTACACAACGCGTAAAATAAAAACAAACTGGAGCAAACTGTCGAGCACTATCTCGCACACTTTGAACTGGTTGATTAAATTGAGCAGGATTGTCGAACATCATCTGCTGAGCGGTACCATCCTAAAAAATTCTCAATACATATTGGTTATACAAAACATAATAATAAGACACGAAATTCTTGTCGCTTACAAAATAGTCATCGATATTGCGAGCATGGTTTTGAGGTGGTATATGTGGCTGATTCTGATACTGACTTTCTTGCTGCACCCAAATAGAAAAACTTATTTTCAAAAATTTCTTATCGCAAACCTGTTGATTATATGAAGGCTGATCCAATCTCGGAAGTCTAAATGGAGCCTAAGCAGAAAGAAAAGAAATTCTTACTCTACATATTCGTCGTTCATTTGCGAATAATAGACATCGAATCGATCCTCCTCGACTGGAAGACGATCATCATCCTGAAGAATAAATGTTTGATGCATATTGGAGCGCTATAAAGTTCAGGTAGGTCGCGTCGCAAACAGTTATCAAATCTTGCTTATACATTTTATTTAATATCTTACTGCTGATTTATTTTATTAGGTTGGCCCATAAGTCTTTAGACGCTTATTTCTACTAGCGTTTATAAAGGACAAATTCACCAATTGGCTCCATTAGAAAGGGCTGCTATTTTTCTACAAAATAACGTTCGAATCTTATGAAAATATCTTGTACACGGCTTTTTATGGAAGCGCGAAGTCGGATAGTCAAAAAAGGCGACAACCCGAAGACGCAATTTGGGAGCTTTGGTCCAAAGAAACCTATGTTGCTGTCAATAGATAAAAGGTAGAGCGCAAAAAGTTAGGTATTTCGCCAAATTTTCAGGATAATCGATTCAACCGATTTCTTTGTAGAGCCTTTTATCAAATTTTACGAAAAACGAGGTTTTGCACTCGAATTTGCATGGAAAAGGACCTAAATTGCCTTAAAAAGATGGGAAAATGAATAAACATTTTCTATTTAGAGCCAATTGTAGGTCAATTGGTGAATTTGTCATTTATAAACGCTAGTAGAAAAAGTGTCTAAAGACTTATCGGCCAACCCAATACATATTTTAATATCGACTGGAAACTTACTTGTGCGGGACCTCGAGTCCAACTAGGCTTTGTCTGTGGAGGTTGCATCTGTTTGCTATGACGCGAGCCACCTTGTTCATCACCACTGCTCTCTTCTTCTGTGGTGTAGTTCTGGCCCTCTTGCCTTTGTTGAGCCTTGTTAGTTTCTCCCTAAAATTCCAAGGAATATAAGTTTAACAGTAAGCGCACTTTTGGTGCTAAATACATGTTCCTGGGTGGATTTGATTGGGTGGTCGCGGGCGAATTCTTTCGGTTCATCTGCGAAGTAGTAATGGAAGTGGAAGCGGGTTTGTCTAAAAATGAAATTGTTTGCAGGACTAATGACTTTGCTGAAGGTAAATATAGCTTCTTTGAAATGCCAAAGAACTTTCAATCTTATCATACCAGCCGTTTTCATCTGCTAACGCAGCTGAAAGCAGCTGACGAATGGGGGCGACGCATATGAGTAAATGTAGTTTTAAATGAAGATTAAAGCAATATCGTGATCAATCACAATACCCTTGAATTGGCTCGTCGCGACTGAGGTCGCGCCTCGCACTCCTCCGAAAGCCCTGTAACAATATTGGGATCTAAATACTATCCCTTCGAAGCAATACCGGGATCATGCCCCGAATACCCTACGAAACAATATCGAGAGCAATTAAAACGCTAACTATCTTTCCGTGGAAATCTTCACCAATTTAAATTTCTCATGCAAATTTGGTTTCTGGCTATCCTTGCCACATTGGACTATACTGCACCAAGTAATGAGTACTAAAACAGACTAAAACGTGGGTCGAATCCTATCGGGTTGTCCAGATCGGATTCGGACGTCCGTTTACGAACTTCTGAGTTTAGTTTGTAAACGGACGTCCGGAGCCGATCCGAACACTAGCTCGTAAACGGACGCAACATATATATTATACATTATATTCGATGACATTTTAAAAGTGTGCAAAATAACTTATTCCGTGATCAGCGCATTTTTGCGTATTTTCTCAAGTTTTCAGCTCTCTAACTTAACGCTTTAAGGTATCACGGAGAGACGGACGGACCCACTGTTTACATATATATAATGTTACAAGACGTTTTAAAAGTGTGTAAAAGAACTTATTGAGCTTTTGCATACCTTGAAATAGAGCACGATCCGCGTCACTAAGTTGAATACGCTCTTCTGAAGCTTTCTTCGACTGTGGCTAAAAGAAACACAAGAGTTACGAAACTAAATTTTTAAAAACGCACTTGATACTGACGGTTTTCTCTTGGCTGAAACGTCTTTTTGGGGGCCGTAACTGCTTCCTCGTTTCTCTTCGCTTTCCCCACTGCCTCTGTGATCTCTTCTTCTGTGAGTCCTAAAAAGAAACGTTTAGTGATAGTTTTTTGGTTTTTTTTGGTTTTTTGTTTTTGCTCAATGGTTTTTTTGCAGTTTATTTGCTTATTAAAGTTAAAAAAGTTAAAAACATTTAAAAACAAAATTAAGAGGATTTTTTATTTCTACAAACAACATACAGTGGTCAAAAAAGCCTTGATACCTTTCAAATAATTAGTCAACTGAGTATCCAAAAATATTGGATTCAGCTCATTTTTGTTTCATTAGACAAAACAAAGTACCATGCTTCTGTTCAGTACAAGCAGCGGCAAGAATGCCCAGCATCTGCGTTTTGAAAGCTTCCTAAAAGAAAAGATAAAACAGTGTTCAAGATTTCAAGTCTAATTGTTTAAATTTAGCGTCTTTTCTTCTTGAGCACAATGAAAGCTGAACTAGCAAGAAAGGGTACACTTTATCAACAAAGTTTCTGATACTTTACCAACAAAGTTTCTGATACTTTACCAACAAAGTTTCTGCTACTTTACCAACAAAGTATCAGAAACTCTTTCAAAACAATTCCATAAGAACAAACAAACCCTGAATTCATCTGGTTCCACAAGGTACCTCGGGTAATGCATATCGATTCCGATCTCGTTTGCCCATGCGTTATCCTCCTCGATCTCCACACACCAATTTTGTGTGGTCATCGCCATGTTGCACCGGTGATCTAAATCAAAGCATTAGTCTATTGAAAGAAAATTGACCGTAAGAAAGGAAAACATTGAAAATCGAAAGCGAACTACACTGTTTAGTTAAAGCTTGGCTAACAAATTCCTCGCGTAAGCAAAAAAGGTGCAGCTACTCGGCAAAAACTCAAAACGATACGGGAAAAGGACCCAACCATAATGGAAAAGCTTTAACATTGAAAAGTGCCCCAATAGTGGATAACTTGGGCTCCATATAGTGAAGTACACAATGGAAGCGCGCACTTTGGAAACCCGAAACTCGGCTTAAAACGCATTTTTCCAAGCTCTCGTTGTGTTTTTCGGAATCCACGCATAAAACTACTCCAGAAAGTGGTTTTGAAGACAAAAAAATTGTGGCTCCAACTAGCCTAATACCGCTAATCTTTATGATTTTGGTGTCATTTTATTGCACTTGTTTAGATCTACAAAATGACACAAAAATCCTAAAGATTGGCCCACTTGGAAGACAGTTATGGCGAGTCAGGCAAAAAGGCAACAAATTTGGCGCAAGGTTCTTCCCGAGAAAATGCCAAAAATTCGGTGAAAATTGAATAGTAAATTTTTTGACGGAAAAATGAACGCAGACATAAGTGTCAACTAGTGCTGCTGCAATAGTATTTGCTAATATAATATTTGCTGCAAATAAAATCTCTTTTCGGTGATTTTAAAACTTTGAAAATACAAGCTTATCAGCTCCCATACTAGTAACGTCAAGGAAAACACAACTTTGCCAAATACAATATCAAAAATCCCAGAAAAATGTTTATTCTACTATTTTGTTTGTATTATTTTCCCATTGAGTAGAAATGAAGAAGGCAGCTTTGGGCACGGTTGATAGGATCACCGATCTAAAGAAGAAATCTAGTTAATCAAAGCTTTAGTAAAAAGCTTACCTGCATGGGAAACAGTTTGTGCACGGGAGACAGTTGGGGGCACTCTATCGGCTGTCCTTGTAGTTCGCGTGGGCGTCAGCACTCATGCCGAAGATGGAGTGGATGAGAAGGTAGGCGGCAGTTGTTGAGACGAGAAGACCGAGTTGATAGGTGTAGGTTTTAGCCTAAACAGAAAAAGAGATTAGTGCAATTCGATAACAATTACCGATTCGTCCTTGGCATGCTGGAAGATATATTGAAGGGCAAGCACGGTGCAGGCTCCGTAGAGAAGAGTGAGCGCGAGGAAGGCTCCGGTCAGTTTGCCCAAAATCGCTCCGAGTGTCAGGGTGACGGCGAGCGATCCACCAACCGAAACACCAAGAAGCAGCTAAAGAAAAAGATTTAGCAAACGGCAACGCTTGATCAAGAATTTTTCTTTGCTATATAGCAATTTACCATAAGTACTCTAATAGAAGCTCCCCTATAGGAGCATCGCGCGTAGTCTAAGTTTACACTCAGAAAACTGCTCATATCTCGGCGCCAAGACATTTGTTTCTACACGCTTTGGTATCAAATTAAAGTAGAGAAGGTGAGTGATTTTTTTGAGATATAAAACATACTTTTATCATTAACCAGCACTTAGAAAAAAAAGATTGAAAAGTGGCAAAAAAGAGCCGATTTTCGCCGATTTTCAGCATTTTTTCTAAGCGCTGGTTAATGATAAAAATGTGTTATATTCTCAAAAATCACTCAACTTTTCTACTTTAATTTGATACCAAAGCGTGTAGAAACAAACGTAATGGTGCTGAGATCTAAGAGTTTGTTTGAGAGTAAACTTAGACTATGCGATGCTCCTATAGGCGGTGCTTCTATTAGAGTATTTACGGGAGGTAGTAAAACAAACTTCAACCCGCTTAGCTGGTTGAAGTTTGTTTTACTTCAATTTGGCTAACTTCAACTTATATAAGTCTTAATAAAAACAAATCACATACTTGACGTTTTCCTCCAAAGTTAGCAGCAGCAATTGGATAGAGAACTGTTGCAACTCCAACTACCATCGATGCACACGGAGTCGCAGAGAGGAACGAGTTGCGAATGAGGAAGCCAGTGAGAAGTCCGTTGACCAGCGCAGCACCCAGAAGGAAGAAACGAATCGTTGAATCCGCGGCATCCTTGGCGACGCTCTAAACTTAGACTTTGAACATCGAAGAAGGGTTTTACCAAAACCAACCGATTTAATGATGAAGTAACCGTAGAGGGGCACGCCGACGAGCACACCAGCGAGGGCTCCCCAATCCCCGATGAGCAGCAAGAAGATTGGCGCGAGTAGATACGACGAAACGAGATTGGCAAGTGATGAGCCGAGGATGAGGATTGTAGACCAAGTCAATGATGACAGGACGACCAAGGGCGGAGTGGAAACATCATCCTAAAACAAATAATTCATAGCTAAGTTAAATGGCAGCTAAGTTAGCTAAGAAAACAAAACTTACCATGGCTTGAACGGTTGCGAGAAAATCTTTCTTGAAGGGCTCAACGGTTTCTTGAATCTCTGAGGCAAGTTGAGGTGCTGTTTCCTAAACAAATGTTTGAATCTAGCACAAAACAGGTGTTTAGATTCGGTTGATAAGAATTTTTCTACCATTTGAACAGTAAAAACTTTTAGCTTTATATCAGCTTTACATACATTTAAAAGCAAATAGTAATCTAATTTGGCTAAAGTTTAGAACAAAAATAACCGAGTTTCTTTCTGGCATAGACAGCAACAGCAAGCAACATCAAGCAGTAGCAAGCAACAGCAAGCAACATCAAGCAACAGCAAGCAGTAGCAAGCAGTAGCAAGCAACAGCAAGCAACAGCAAGCAGTAGCAAGCAACAGCAAGCAACGGCAAGCAGTAGCAAGCAACAGCAAGCAACAGTAAGCAGCAGCAAGCAACGGCAAGCAGTAGCAAGCAACAGTAAGCAGCAGCAAGCTACAGCAAGCAGCAGCAAGCAACAGCAAGCAACAGCAAGCAGCAGCAAGCAACAGCAAGCAACAGCAAGCAACAACAAGCAACAGCAAGCAACAGCAAGCAACAGCAAGCAGCAGCAAGCAACAGCAAGCAGCAGTAAAAACTTTTCTTCACAGCAAACTTTACAAAGCGTGTTATTTAACGCGATTGCTATTAAAAAGGGGGCAAGAAAATAAGCTGCAGAAGATAAAATAAAAAGATAAAAGCACAAGATAACGATAAAAGAAATAAAATTTACCTGAAGCTGCGAGGCGCGTTGCTTCAGTTGGCTGGCTGTATCGGTGAATTCATCCTTGAATTTCGTGGCAATGTTGGAGACCGATTCGATGGCAGACATCTCAAGTTGAAAAAAAAAAACAAATAATGAAAAGTTCATCAAAGAGCTCTTTTATTTGACGCTTAAATGTGAATTTTGAAATGTAAATTGAAATTGAAATTGAAATTGTAAATTGTAAATCATTGTAAATTGGCGACTTTTAGATGTAAGGATTTAGTACAGTAAGGCTCTATTTTCTTGGCTTTCATCTGGCTTTTAAAAAGCATTCATCTACCGGAATCAAAGGTTATAGGGTTTTCTAAAAGATGTTAATAGCTACCGTACTCTTAGTGCCTCTTAGCTGTTCTAAAAGCTACGATGCCCCAGCTGCTTTAAAAACTGTTTAAAGTATCCTGTTAGTGTTAATGTTTATGTTAATATTAGGTTGTTCGGATCTAAACAAGCGTTGCTAAACTTATTGTTGTGAGAGAAGCTTTTAAAAAATGTCTTTCTGTGTTACAGTACATTACAGTACAAAGTACGCATATTTGTGTATTTGTGTATTTATCTTGTGCATATTTGAAATCTTTTTAAACGGATAATTTCTTATTTTTAATGTTTTTTTTCTTGCTTTAGATGGCCTTTAGATGGGATCAAATATCAAGTTTGCGTTCGCCTACTTTACGACTTCAAACTGGACAAAACAGTAGCGGAATCCTATTGAGATTTGGTCAAATCATTTGGGAATGATGTATTGTCCGAAAGCCGAGCCTGGTTCCAACGCTGAGCCTGGTTCCAACGCTGAGCCTGGTTCCAACGCTTTCGGTATGGTGATGAAAGTCTCGAGGATGATGAACACTCTCGTCGATCATGAACACTCGATCATGAACACTCTCGTCGACCTCAAACGGTAGACAACGATACTTTGAGGGCTGCAATCGAATCAGATCCATGTCAAACGACGCGTGAACTTGCTCAACAGTTTCTATGTTCAAATTCTACTGATGAGCTATTGATGAGCTATTGACGAGCATCTCCACGCCATTGGAAAGACGATCTGGTGCGGGAAATGGCTTCCTCACGAGTTAAGCAGTGCAAACGCTCGTTTATCAAACGATCAAACGATCAAACAACCTAATATATCCTTTACAATTGAAAATTGCAAACTTGACTTGTCAGAAAAAGTTTATTTAGCATACAAAAAGCCGGTCAAATAGCTTGGGATTACGGTGAGACTAAAATTAAGTGTAGTCTGTAAGAAGTTGGCCCTTTACAGTACTTTCAGAATAATCTACCGTATGCAAATGGCTATAGTATCACTGTAGGTTAAGGTTAGAGACGGATTACTATAGGGAACCAAATTTAGAGAGATAGGGAACCAAATTTAGTCAGATAAAGAACCAAATTTAAAGAGATATCTCAAAAGCTGACACTTTTTAGGAAATCGAAAATCAGCCCATTTCCAGCCACATTACAGCTATTTCGTCAATAATTTGTCTGAATTTGTCGCCGTTGCGTCAAACCGTTTGTTTTCTTTCGTAACAAGCTTTGATTTGATTTGAGTCATTTGATGGAATTTCTTCGTTTATCATCCGTCAAAACTTTGACTTTTCCATAATAAAAGCACTAAAAAGTGAATGGAAATTCCAAATTCATTTCTCGATTCAAAATTCGATCGAAAGATGCCTCTGAAGCTCTCGGTTTTGTTTCTCGGTGAGTGATTTTCGATTAGGCTTACTTATCCGGCTTACTTATCCAGCTTACTTACTTAATTAACGCAATTTGTAGAGTCTAGTCAGTGCATCCAGCCAGTTTCCATTCGATCAGCCTAATTTTGAGATCAATTTGAGATCACTGAGCCTTGTGATTCCTCATCGAATGTTCAAAATTGGATTGGTTAAATGAAAACTAGCAGTTTGATTACGATACGATACGATTACGATCTAAAATAGGCCCATTTTAGAAAGTGGATTAGTCGAGAGAAGCTTATTTCACTCTTAAGAATCCAGTTTTCATCAAAAATAGCTATCTTTTTCAGCTATCAGTCTCTGTGTGACTGCACAAGCGAGATTTATTCAAGTAAGTGGCTTCATTCTATTGAAATGATTAGCAAATTAAGATTTTAAGCTTTTAGACAGCTTTTAGACAGCTTTTAGACAGTTTTTAGACAGCTTTTAACAGCTTTTACCGTAACACCTCTAATGGTAGCGCCCTCCTCCAATGACGGGGTATTGCCGCGTAGTCTAACTTTACACGCTTCGTACTCCGAGCTGCTTTATGCTACAGTGTGCGCTTGGGTGTCAAATGATAGCCCTTCAAATCTAGTATTTTTTGCTACCAAAAGTATAGTTGGGAAAAATCTAAGGGCTTAGAAAAAAAATGATTTTCTAAAAAGAAGTTAGATAGTCGTACGGGGGGGGGCAGGGGAGCGCTACTATTAGAGGTATTACGATAACAGCTTTTAAACGGCTTTTAGACGGCTTTGAACAGCTATTAAGAGCTTTTAACAGCTTTTAGACGGCTTTTAACAGCTTTTGACATCTTTTAATACTAATAAAACATAAACTACAAAAAATTTAATAAATTTAGTCTGAAGAGCCTGAACTAAACACATCAACTGTGGTAATGAAAAATGAGAATTATTAGAAAAAGATTTGGTTTTTAGTCTTTTGAGAACGGAAACGAGAGTTCAACTGGGGAAACGACAACCGGGAATGTGAGTTGAAACCTAAACCACAGATAAAATTGCATAAAGATAGATACCGTAATAATTCTAATAGAAGACCATGGTCTTCTAATTTTCAACCCCTTCCCCAAAGGGTCTTCTATTAGAGACTGGTCTTCTGTTAGAGACTGGTCTTCTAATTTTCAACCCCCTTCCCAAAGGGTCTTCTATTAGAGACTGGTCTTGAATTTGTCAAAGCTTTAGAGAACGATTTTAGGAAGCAACGCTTTTTAAAAATCAGTCACATTTGTATCATCACTTTATTCACTTAGTTAAAGCAACAATTAACAACAATAACAACAAATAATTATTAACATAAAACATAAAACAATTTGAAAGGAGCAAATCCGTTAAAAAACCTCAATTTAATTTTCATGAATGTCATTGATTTCAATCGAGGCATCGCTTTCGTAATCCTTGTTTTCCTCGTCTTCGCCCAAATCAATTTCATCCAATAATTGAGCAACCATCTCATCATTTCGGGCTTGCAACAATTTGGAGGCCGCTTCTGGAACTGCACCGTTGGGCTAAAATAAAAACACTAAATACATTAAAAATCTTATAAAGTAAAAAGCAGCTAAAATTTTACTTACTTTGAAACAGGAGATTTGATCGTCTTCCGATCCATCAATAGCAACCGTAATTCCGCAGGATTTGAATGATCCAGCGATGAGATCCTTATCCAAATCATTCCAAGCATCGGTGATCCATTGTAAGTAGTTGTCCATTGATGGAGCTTTGATATTACCTCCTTTTGTGGTTTCCTGATCTCCATGCATCATCCAATCGTCGTAGTAGCTTCGGATTTTGGCCTTGAAGGGATGATTCCAAACAACATCTGGCGCTTGAATAAATTTTGTGCACCCTTCTGGAATTACCGCCGAGTCCATTTTAATTGCTTTAAGTACTCGCTTCGTCGAGCTCGAAATGTGACAGCGAAAGCTGTCCCAAACCAAAAAGCACTTGAAAAGTCCAGCATGTCCAAAGGTTCTCTTGAGAAAGTCGGCCGTCAGATCATCATTCATCCATGTCGTTCGCTCCCAGACAAGATTCAATTTACCTCCAAATCGCTTCTGGATGACCGGATCAATTCGTTTCCGTGGCAAAGGAACAAAAGGCTTGCACTTGTAACCGTCGGAGCGCCCCGTAAGCATCACAGAAATTTTTGTCTTTTCATGTCCACTTGATCGAACTGAGACTTCATTTGCTCCTTTTTCATCAACACATTTTCCGCCAATTGGATCAAGGAAGACGGCCGTTTCATCACAAGCGTAGATGTGTGTGTATTTGTTCTCCTTTTGCATCCGATTGAGATACATTACGAAATTGACCAACACATCAGCATATTCGTGGGGAGGCTTCTGACAGATTGACGTTGGAGTTCTCATTGAAAATCCATGACGCTTCATGAACTTTTGAAGCCATCCCAATGAACAATCGACTTTGATATCGTTTTGCTCACAAAAACGCTTTGCTTTTTCTTGGACCAAACGCCTCGAGACCTTGTTTTTCTTCTGTCGTTCGCTTCGAACCCATTCGGCAAGTTCCACGTCGAGTTGCGTATTTGTGAGGGTTCGGTCACCTCCTTTTAACCTCTTGTAAGATTTCCCCATCTTTCGCAATCGTTTTTCTTGCGAAATCCATTCGCGAATCATCTTTCTGCTGACTGGAAACTTTGTGCTTGCAACATTCTTTGAGATCGTCTTTGCAAGTTCAATTGTTTCTAACTTAAACTCGATCGAATATGCCTTCCGTTTGTTTCCATTCTTGAGCAGTTCCGCTTCGAGAGCCTCCAAAGCATACTCCGAATCTTGATTCATCTCGTTTTCATTCTCCTTTTCTCGTTCCTTGAAGATTTCAAAGTCGTCTCCTTCATCTTTTCGAATATCTCGATACTCCTCCAGGGAATCCGTGCGAATTGGCAGTCGCTCAGCCATCAGCCCTGAAAATAAACACATTATTTATTTTAAGACAAGAAACAAGAATTACAAAAAACACTAGTAGGAAAGAAATAATAACTTTGCACAATGATTTTTACAAGAAAATCTGGGTGGTAGCGGGATACGGTAACATAGTGCATTTTAAGAGTTTGGGTCTTCTATTAGAGACTGGTCTTCTAATAGAGACTGGTCTTCTATTTTTCAACCTCCCTTCAAAAGGGTCTTCTATTGGAGACTGGTCTTCTAATAGAGACTGGTCTTCTATTAGAATTATTACGGTATATGAGAAAAAAATATAGATAAAAATATGAGATATAATAGAAAATACGGATAAGATAAAGAAAATTCGAAAAAAAAGCCATTCATGGAGTCCAGATCGATGTCCAGATCGATGAAGGATCGAGCACAGACACCAC